GTGGGTGGGGAGGGAGAACATACCCAACCCTCCATTTTTAAATAAAAGGTAGAGGTGGCTTTGGGTTTCTTTTCTTTGCAAACCTGCCTCACCTTTCCCTCTCCCCACTTAGGGAATCACATGGGTTTCCTTTTTCATTAAGTCTGAATGTAAAGAACCAGCAATTTCTCCAGAAAGCTGCCCTTAGTAATTTTGTGGGGGGCGAGGGGTGAACAGGGAAACCTGTTGCTGCTCGACACTGATCAAGAAAGGGGCGGGGGGGGGCAGGCTCTATTAACAAGCCCGGAGGGTGTTCATGTTCTCACTTAAACCTTTGGGATCCCCAGAAAGGCGGATAAGCCATGCACAGATTAGACGGTTTTTGCCTGGCAATCCTTCTTAGAGATCATTCCATATTGGACACACACAACCGATCTCATTTCATCACAGTCATTTCCCCCTGCTCAGTCAAAATAAATAAATAAATCCCGTAGTGCTTGGGCCTTTGCTAAGATTGCCAGCTGTTTCTGATTTTAAGGGGTAGGGAGGAGAGCCTAATATTTTTGAAAGGCTGGTCAATTACCACCACTTGACCTGCTCTGGGGCCTTTTTTAATCTTGATGCAGCTTTGGCAGGCAGGAATGGCACAGGTTGAGCTTCTTCTTCCTGGCACAGAGATAAAGCCATGGGGAGTGGGGAGCTACACCTGAGGTCTTCCACAGTGTAAGCATAACTTTCGCTAACAGCTGCAGGAGCCTCTCATATTGTGTCAGGTAAATGTTTAGGAAATTTTGACTGAAGAGGCAAGGTTGGTTTTTTTTTAGCACTGCCCATCTTTTTGTAGAAGCTGAGAAAAAAACAAAAACAATATATTGTGGCAAAAAAAAATTCACTGCATCCATGCACAAGTCATCTGCGATTCGTCCAACTAGATTTAGAGAATGGAACAAATTTTGCAAACTTGTTCCTTTCCAGAATTTGTTGCTGAACGCCATTATACTTTCCACCCATTTCGGCTGCATTGTCATATGATTGTCCTCTACATTTACTGAAATCTAGTTCAAGTTCACTGATGTAGTTCAGTGTCATCTCAGCCGTACTTTCACCCGGTGTGATCTTTCATTAAAAAAAAAACCCAAAAAAAAACCACCTCAGAAAGCGTTCAACTCACTAGGAGAAACATATCTAACAATGGCAGCAAGTTGATCAACAACGGAAACATCAGGGGTTGAATCAACTAATAAAGGAAAATAACCTGCCTGTTGGATGTTGCTCAGTATTGCTTCTCAAACAGTATTAGCCATCAAATGGATAACCTCTTCGCATATGGTTTTGGTTAAGTACGAACTGAGTCTGCTCAGACTGCACAGTGAAGTCTACTTGATTTTCTTCTGTTTGTAAACAGGAATGTTCTACATCTGAGGGATTATGTAGTGCTGTTTCCCCCTGCTTTACAAAGCCATATGACGGGATTGGCTTTAAACGTTTGAGAATTTCCTTCTGTTCTTTTTGTCGCTTTTGTTTCCTAACTGCACTCGATCCACTTAGCCGATAGCTTCATATGCCTTGAGACCCCTAAAACGTCACTTTAAAGCATATTCAGCACACATTTAAAACACATGAACCCCCCCCCCCCCTTTCCTGGGGACTGTCATTTGATAAGGTTGCTAGGAACTGTAGTTCTGCCAGGTGGCCAGGTGTAAACTACAGTTCCTAGGATGTGGGGGTGGGGAGAGTGAGAGATTGCTGACTCAATTCAGTTGGACCCCATTTTATTTTAGAAAAGTTATATAGAGGGTTAATCAAGAGCACAAAGTGCCTAAGCAGTTAGCACAACCAATAAAGTCAATCAAATTTAAAAACCAGCAGACACAATAAAATTATCAAACATGTTGATAAAATCAGCAGAATTTTAAAACAAGTACCTGTAACATTTTTTGTAAAGTTTTTCAGCCTGATATGAATAAGTGTTGAAAAGATTTCAGGATTGCTGAAATGAAGAAACATGCAATGGTTGCTCCTGTATTTTTGCAAATAAGTGAAACACACAAGTTTCCCCACTTTTACCAAATCACTGTATACCAAATCACTATATACTGAGACAGAATGTAGGCTTCCCATATTTCAAACAGTAAAAATCCAGACAGAAAAGTTGTTGAGCTTTTTTAGAAAATCATAGAAATTATTTTCAGAATGAGCAAAATATAAACACGTATTCTTAAAAAAAAGTCACTTCTCACTTTATATGTTCCAAATGAAAATACAATTAATTAGCCTTGGTTGGGGTGAGGATTCGAACTCTCAACCTAAACTCTCTGATGCATACTCACTAAGGTCGCCATCTTGGAAGAGGGAAAAAGAAAAAGCCTCTCTGACGACTTTTACCCGATGTTAACATGTTGAGTAAATCTATCGGACGTTTCGGAATCGAGGATTCATCCTTCATTTCCCTCGCCTGACCACCCATCCAAATTATTCTACTTTTAAATACTCAGTTGTTTAAGTAAACCTGCCCTGAATTTAAGCATAAAGGAGGACCAGGCTTTAAATAATCCTCGTGTTTATTTTTCCAATAATACAAAACAGGGACGGGGTTAATCTGCTCCTGAATTCTAATAGCTTTCCAAAGTCTTAACTTTCGATTGGTTAAAAGAATACATATTTTAGGACGATATGGTCAGGAAGCAGCTGAATTTTTAAGTCGTGCAGATTTGTTTTCTTAATGAAGCGTTCCGTAGCTGTTAAATGAAATACTCAGTGTGTGTGTGTATTGATTGATTGATTGATTGATTGATGTAAATGAGAAAGGCAGGTAATTAAAGCATTATTGAGGGGAGAGAGAGATAATCTAAACTGGCTCCCCGTAAACTTTAAAATATATGTATCCCATACTTCCGTGCTGCATAAAAGGAGAGAATGCTAAGGATGAAAGAGGCGTTTAAGATATTGCCAATTACTTTGTGGCATCTAACCATTTTTTTTACTGATGAGGTTGGCCAGTTTTGCAGAAGGGAAAAAAAACAAGGTAACTCCAAGAATGAAAACTCAAACATTAGCAGCAGCGAAGCTCCGTAAAAATAAAATGTTCCATTATTGTTTTTGCATCCACAGAAGTAGCTTCACATATAGCAGCTTTTCAGATACTTGAAGTTAAATGTTGATGTTTAAATAGATGTGGCTGTGGTCAGGGGGTGAATCTGAATTGGGCACAAGTACTGGTCAACCTTATGTAAAATGAATCCACGTATGTACTCGTGGCCATCCCTTTCATTCCTCACCAATACCGCTAAGTGTGATGTTTTATTATTATTAATATATTATTTATTAAATTTATATAGTGCCTTTCATGAGAGGATCACAGGGCAATTTACAATAGAAAAACAGAAAAAGCATAACATAGGAACAACACCCCTTCTCCCCAGCATATATAGTTTAAAAGGCCATATATTGCTTAATTAACCAAAGGTCTGAAAGAAGAGGAACGTGCCTAATGTTATGTAAGGAAAGCACCAGGTGAACCTTCTTAGGGAGCATTCCACAACTAAGGAAACATCACAGGAAAGGCCTGTTCTCATGTCGCCACCCTCCAGACCTCTGATCAAGGAGGCACACGAAGGGCCTCAGATGGTGATTGCAGAGTCTGGGTTGGTTCATATGGCGAGCAGCAGTCCTTGAAGTATTGCTGCCTTGTCCTGGGCTTTATAGGTGAAAACCAGCACTTTGAATTGAGCCCAGAAACTAATTGGCAGCCAGTGCAGTCAGGCCAGGATTGGCATTATATGCTCAAATTGTATTGCCCTGGTGAACGACCTGGTCACTGAATTCTTCACCAGTGGAAGTTTCTGAACAGTCTTCAGAGGCAGCCCAAGTAGCAGAGGTTACCAGAGCATAGGCAGCAGAAGTTAGGCTATCTGTCCCGCTTTGACTGGTAGCACAGCTGGGCCACCAGTCAAAGCTGATGGAAGGCACTCTGTGCCACCTGAGCCTCAAATGACAGCAATGGATTCTGGAGTATCCCCAAGCTGTATACTGGCTCCTTCAGAGGGAATGTAATCCCATCAAGAGCAGGCAGCCTCCCAACCATCTGGTCTAGGGAACTGCCCACTAAGATTGCCTCCGTCGTATTGGGATTGAGCTCGTTTGCTGGCTCTCATCCAGTCCATTACCAAGGCAAGCTGCCTCACCTGCAGATGTAAAGGAGTAGAGCTCCAGGTGTATACATATATACAGACACATACATCCTGTACACCAGTCAGACCTAGGGAACTTAACAAACTGTACTAACAGAAGCTGGTCTCTTCCATGGCCATCTCCTCTGAGTGGAAATGGGTGTCAGTACATCATCCTAAGAAGTTCAAGTGTCCCTAAAAAATCCCTAAAATCACAGCTGCCAAGATAACTGGCCACCAGCTTGGACAGCTTTAAAAGATTGGGCTGGAGTGGACCAATTCATGGAGAAGGCTTCAATGGCTACTAGCTATGCTTTACCTTCATGGTCAAAGGCAGCACTGCTTTTGAATACATTGCTGGGAACCACAGGAGGGGAGGGGGCTCTTGTTTTTGGATCCTGCTTATGGGCTTCCCTTTGGGGCATCTGGCTGACTACTGTGAGAACAGGATGCTGGACTAGATGGGCGGCAACTGACCTGGTCCTGCAGGCTTCTCTTATGTAGGAAAGACTATTTTCAGTGTCTCTTCAGCAATAGCCAAGTGAGTTTCCTTCAATGCATTCATTACCCTGAGCTTTTGATATTTTCAGGACCCACCCTACTCCTATGGCTGAATTTAACACTGATTTTTAAATTGTAACCTGCCTTGGGAAGAGATGGGGAAGAGCGTGTAATAAATCTGAATGTATAATAATTTCGTCTTCAGTTCCTTCCACTGCACGCTGGTTTTTGTCTTTGGAAGCAGGTCATGAGGCAATCAGCTGTGACCCCAAGGAATTGTGGTCCATACAAGGAATTGGCAGGGGCCACATCCAGAGACACCGTACACCAGTCCACTTGAATGACGACCAATTCACAAAAAATCCCACCTTTTTATTGTGCATATGGTAACCAGGTTTGATGTGTAAAATATTGATAAGCGCAGAGGAGGGAAGAAAGGGTAGAAAAGGAATATACCAATGTGGAAGGGGGGGATAGAATAAAGCCATACCATTAGCAAATACAAGCTCATACAATGAGGTTTCCAAGATTAAAAAAGTGTTTTTCTTTTGTTTTTTACACTGAAATAACTGTACAGAGTTTGTGAAATTTGCCAGAATATTTTTTTTTAAGTAAAAACAAACAAAAAGCCACAAGCAAGGACTTTGGAGGACAGAGGTTGAACAGATAATTTGGGGTGGGGGTGGGGGTGGGGTGAAAAGCGTGAATAGACTTTTACTGTCAAGTAGCATCTATCAGAGAGCATGATGAACAGGGTGCATTACACAGAAGGACAAAGAAAGGGTGATTTAATCACAGGTTCTGGAAACTTGGGTGGGTGGGAAATGAGAAGAGGCGCAAGGCAAAAGAACACTTGTTTGGTCACGTTAAAAAAATTGCCTTTAGTAATGAGCCACCATGGCTCTTCTATTTAAAGTTTTAGGTACTAGGGCCTACCTGCCTGGATCTTTTTTTCTTTTTCTTTAAGAATGTTAACATATCCAGATTCTTTCTAAGTTTATGACTTGGCGGTGGTTGCTGTTAGGAGACAGTGTTCCCTCCAAGGAATGAGGATGCCATCTAATTCTCCAAGGAGAGAATAGTTAATGGCTTCCCAATAGGAAAAGCCGCCAATTCATCAAAGAAAACAGAACCTTTTTATTATTTCCCCCCCACAAAAAACCTATATTTGCCCAGTTTGGAGACAAGCCAAAGAGAGAAGTTCTTTGGGCAAAGACTAGGAGAAATCATCTTCTCAAAGGTTGCTTTGTTTCCTGGCAAATGGGTCTTCAAAAAACACAAACACAAAATACCCCCATGTTTTCCAGACACCCCCCAGCAGTCTCTGAAGTGATGCTGAAAGCATTTTAACAGTCACTCTTCCAAAGTTTAATTGTTTTGTCGTTTTCTAGAGCTGCTGAGGCAATGATGTTCTCCGTTGGATGGCAAGCTGTAGAGATCACAACATCTGTTGGGAGAGACAGAAAGCAACAAAAGGCATGGTCATCCAGTGATTTAGTAAAAAAACAAAACAAAACATCAATCTGCTTGGGTTAGTGGACGATTGTTGAAGGTAACCTGCAAAATAAACCCACAAAAGTTTGCTGCTAGCTCAGTACTGTCTGCACTTACTGGCAGTGGCTTTCCAAGGTTTCATGTAGGAATCTCTCCCATCCCTACACCAGGAGACTGGGGATTGAACCTGGGACTGCATACAAAGCAGATGTTCTAACCACTAAGCTATAATGGACCTGCCCTAATTGCTTGCCAAACCTATCTTCTAATAGTTAAGGAATTTCATTCAGTAGGATGAATTTACACTGCCCTGTTCCACTTAGAAAGGTTTTTGTGCATTTTATAATTGTAATAATTTTTAAAATTGTATACAGTCGTACCTCTACTTACGTATCCCTCTGGATACAGAATCTTTGGGTAACGGCCACGGCAAACCCGGAAGTGTATACTTCTGGGTTTCGCCATGCACAGAAGCACTCTGCGCGTAATTTTCAGGGTGTGAACGGACCCCCAGAACGAATTAAGTTCGTATCCGGAGGGTCCACTGTATTCTACTACGAACTGATTATGAAGGATAAGAAATCTTCTTGATTAATCAAATACAATTACTCCTTTAAAGTCAAGGACACACCCATGACAGAATTTCTGTACCAAAGCATTCAGAAGCAAGTTCACTAGTCCTCAGTGAACCATCTTCAACACACTTCTAGAGCAACCCCTCTAAAGACATGAGACACTGGAGAGGGATGCTTGCTGGGGGGGAATCCTATTTAGTTAGGTTTTCCTTTCCTAGCTAAGTAAGCAGTCCAAAATAGTTGTGAGTTCACACCACTTGGGGGTAAACCACTTAAAATATTCTGGGACCTCCCACCTGTATGCCCTTGCAGCTTCTGTACAATCTCTTTCGTTTGGAGGTTCCAAATGTAAACCAGGTTGTCCTCTGAACCAGAAACGATCCACTAAATGAGGGAGAAAACAAATGTATTAAAATGGGAAGAAGGAGCAACCTCATCCCAGGCCAATTAAAATGATGCATGCAGGATTTTTTATTAATGAACTCTAGAGAACAGTTTACAAGGACTGAGCAACCCTGTTTATTTTCAAAGCAAAACCATGAGTTGATTTTGAGGATTTAGGCTCAAAACCCTTTCCACAGCAGCCCAGAAAAAGAAATTCTCACCTTTCCACCAGTAACAGAGAAGTTGGCAAAGATGCAGTACTTCTCGTTCTTGTGGCCTGTGTAGGTCTTTAGGCACTGGAATATAAAAAGACCACAGAATACACCACAGAAGTCAGAGGCAGAAAAAGAAGCTCTCAAGCACATTTCCTTGACCGAGCTTTACAACAGAACATAATAAGAGCTTAGATGCTGGATCCAGCAACCTGTGCTCACCAGGGTTAGAAACTCAGATGTGTAAGCTATTCGCCAAATGGCCCCTTAAACGTGGGTTGCGGGTGCCATTATAATCATCTTTGGCCTTTTTTGTTTTTGTTTCTCAAGATAGAAAAGCAAAAAATGAATTGTGTATATTGTCAACGTTAATATATTTAACAATTCAGTTGGACATTTTACCAATTACAGTCATCTTTCCCTGCCCCCCCCAGCATGTGAATCAATGCACAATTCACTCCAGTGACACATTTTTAAGATCACATTTTTACTTGTTTTACTTTCTTCAGTAATCTTTTACTGTGGATTGTTATTTTAATGTGCTGTAAATCACTTTGAGATTTTTTTCTTGAAAATATAAAGCGGTATAGAACTGAAAAATTACAATAATAACCTATGGCTGGAGTCTTAAAACGTTTACTACGGAGTAGCCCTACTGAACCCAGTGAGTTATTTCTGAGTTAATACACACAGAAATTTGGACTGTAAGTAAAAGGTGGGGGGAACCAACCAGCCAACCGAAACATTTATTAAAAAGACTTCCCCTAGTAAGCTCTCTGTTAAGGAAAATATCAAGACTCACCTTTCCTTTGCTGTAGTCCCAAAGCTTAAGAGTGCTGGAGAAAAAGACAGGGAAATGAAGCACAATACTTTAAAATAGTATCTAGGCTTCTAGGGTGTTCAGATGTTTCATACATCCTCATGCCTATCTAAAGCAACTACAGTGGTACCTTGGGTTAAGAACTTAATTCGTTCTGGAGATCCGTTCTTAACCTGAAACTGTTCTTAATCTGAGGTACCATTTTAGCTAATGGGGCCTCCCGCCGCTGCCGCGCGATTTCTGTTCTTATCCTGAAGCAAATTTCTTAACCCAAGGTACTATTTCTGGGTTAGCAGTCTGTAACCTGAAGCGTCTGTAACCCGAGGTACCACTGTATCTACTAGTTTTAAGCCTCTTCATCAAACGTCTATCATATTTTATGTCTTTACCCACAGAAGAGACTTTCTTCTCATCTAAACTTTAGAGTGACTTCTCTCTCCCATTGCCATTCATTGTATCGCAGCGGCCATTTTTCTGTGAGCTCATTGCACCTCCCCCACTCAGATCTCTGTTCAACTCCCTCCTCACTAGAGTTTAATTTGTTTCTGAACTCTCACAGTTCACCCTTTCAGCAACTTGCCCTCACAATCACTCTGTTCCCACCGCTACTTCTCATCTTCTAGAATGGATCCCTGGAACTGAAAAGAGTGGTCTTTTATCTTAGGTTTCAAATTGGCCAGAAAAATGAGAGCGCAATATATATGCAGAAACATATTCAAAGCTGTCAACAAGAATGAAGTCTGGATGGTTATGACTGCACATACTTCTTTCTCCAAGCTGTTGTGCTAGTTTAGCTAATGTTTAAATATGTATGGTTGTGATCTAGTAAATCAGGAGGTGTAATGCCCCTGTATTTCGAAGTTTTGTTTCTTTGATAAAGCTGAGCAACCCTGCCACAATAATTATTTATTTGCTCTGAAAAAACAGCACAACACCCCTTGACTCTTACTTGTCCAACGTTGCCGCTAGAATATATTTGCCATTGGGAGAGAACTTCACAAAAGACACAGGGGGATTGTCATCATCTGCAGCGAAGGGAAAGAGAAACCATAATTTTCATATGAAAGGCTATTATTGCGGGATAAGTTAGCAGAGGCCTTTGGAGCACGCACACAAAAAACTTACCAATCAGTGTTTTCAAACACTGTCCTGATGCTGTATCCCAGATTCGGCTGCAAGGTGAAGATAAAAGTCACCATTAGTAAGGCAACAAAAAACTATGATTGGGGGGGAGAGCCAAGGGGGACAACACACACGTTTGGCAAAAGCAGAGGATCAGACAGTTGGTATATCCTCTGCTCTTAACTGCTGAAGTATTTGCAGGTGACCTGCTCCCTGCTTTGCTGAGCTATTCCCACCTGGCCTGAGAGAGCTCCAAACAAGTCCTGCAAGCGCTGTTGCTGCTGAAGGGGCCAGAGATCATCTTAAATGTGAGTCCTGCAGGACCTACTGTTCAGAATGCCTAGAGCAGGCATCCCCAACCTACGGCCCTCCAGATGTTTTGGCCTACAACTCTCATGATCCCTAGCTAACAGGACTAGTGGTCAGGGATGGTGGGAATTGTAGTCCAAAACATCTGGAGGGCCGAAGGTTCGGGATGCCTGGCTTAGAGACTCATGGGGTGGGACATGAAGGCGTCTCTGTTGAGGGTGTCAAGGTTTAATCAAGGTGTGTGTGTGTGAATAAGCTTTGCTGTTAATGGAATTAGGCTTTTCTATCTTTATTGTTATACCTTTTATGAATTATTTGGGTTTTCTGTAAAAAAATAAATCCTTCTATACTTATTGAAAAGTTTTCATGTATTGTTTATGACTGGATATGGTTGATTTTTTTTTTTGTAATTACGTAAGCTGACCTGAGCATGGTATAACAATGTAAACATGACATATAAATAAACGATGATTATAGATGCTGCAGGGACCTTTTGCATGAAAGCTGTGTGTTCCCCTATGCACTGTGTGACAGCTCCTTTTTCTTTTTTTTTATAGGTCAGAACCTGCATAAACATCAGATTAAATAATTAAAGCAAGTGACGCAGATCTCCCACAAACACAACACATGTGCACACACACCTATTCTTCCAATGTTGAGGCTTAAAATTATCAATATTTAAGATACAGCCAGTCTGAGCCAGTTTAGCGGCAGGAGAACAAAAGAGCTGCCTCTTGGGGGGTTGGAGGGAGGGACTGGAAATCAAGTCAAAATTGTGGACAGATGGACCCATTCTCTACCCATCATTCCTGGGGTGGCTGAATGCCCCCACCTCACAAACTCAGGATCTAAACCCAGCCTTCTCTCCTTCTCCCACTTACCAGAGGCCATCATAGCTGCTGGACACTATCAGGGAGCCATCACGGTTAAAATGCACCTGGAGGCAAGAATTTATTATTAATTGAATTTATACTGCCACACATAAATAAACATTATTTTGGTGGCTTAGCAAGAGGCAATATTGCATCTGTGGTACAAGGCACCTTTTTCAGAAAGAAAATTCCCTAAGGTTGGTGCCAGAATGCCCCCCATACCAAGACCCAATTTAAATACACTGCTGCTCTTTAAGAGACTCTGCCAGTTTGCTGAACGTTTACTGCAGAATTTAAGGTGCAAGACATCCACCTGGAGCCAAAGACTGCTATGGCATGGAGTGTTGTATTCCTATGGCTGGAGTAAGCATCAGATGTAGGATTTCACATCTAGCAGGGCAAGCTTTCCTCCCCAGCTGACACTGCTGAACCATTAGCCAAACAAGGCGGTGGCGGCAGCAGCAGCAATATTTTACTCCACTTGCTCAGCCTGGAAGACCAGGAGTTCACTCAAGAAGCTTGAAATGTTACTGACAGATGGCAGGCAACTTTGTCATGGGATGGGGCGGGGGTGGGGGAGCATAAGGGACAGCCCAGCTCATCTCAACTCATCCCAAGAGGACCTACCGCTGAAACCGGGTCAGAATGGGCTGGCAGGGTTTTTAGGCACTTCCCGGTTTTGACGTCCCATATCCTCACACTCTCATCAAACTGGAGACAAAACAAAGGAATAAACTCAGAAGATTTCAGTGTTGTCTCTTAAAATTTCAACTACTTGTAATGGAACTCCATTGACAAAATCAGGGACAAGATTTCTCTGTGGTTAATATCTTCACAAGAAACCTAGAATCAGGTTCCATCATCTCTCCTCTTTCCAAAGCAAGAAGTCACTGTTCAAGCACCTCTGTGTGAAATCAGGGCAAGGTTTATTGCACAGCTGAGATTTTACAAACAACACTACCTCCATTGCAAAAAGTTTTATTGCCAATATTTGTTCCTTTTCCTTGCTGTCCTGTTACACAGCCATTGCACAGAACATCCGAGTTTGAACTACAGCAGAGACAGATAGTGAAGGTTCACCCTGGGACTTAAATTAACAACCAGGGGGGCCTTTCCAACTGTCCTGGAGCATCACAAGCTTATATAGCAGCTGCTCTATAGAGTGCACTGCAGGGACACCCAACTCACAAAAAGCAGAGATAGACAGGGCTTACTCCTGCCTTTCAGCAGGAGGCCCAGATCCAAATGGCTTGTCATCTTTATGCATTTTGGAAATTAGTGGAAATTACAGTATATGCTTTAACAGATAGCTAACACGCGAAGAGATGTAATTTCTGTAATAGAGTGTGAGAGGAAATTGTTGGGATCACCCGCTTCCTCAGACTGTTTTAAGAATGTGCCAATAATGCTTGTGCAGGAAAAACTCAGCTTTCAGCTAGCCTGGTAAGGAGCAGGCACCCTGTTCTCCTTGCACCTGTTCTGCACCTGTGTAAACCTAAGGTAAGGAAATGCCTCTGCATAAGCCTGTGTGATTTATAGGCCTGTGGACTCTACCTTTGTGACTCAAATATCACAATGGTGTGTTCACTGATGAAATCAACAACAGAGCAGATGCTTGGCCAATATCTCTCTTCTCCACCCCACATTAGTTGAATATCTGCCATGGCAAGAGGAAACTGTGTCCTACCAGCACCATGATGCCCTGAAACAAAACAGTTAATGCCTGCTGCAACACAGCTAGAGATCTGAGTCAGAGCTCGGCCCACCATTTTCTGTCTTATGAAAGAGATAGCAAGAGCGACCCACTGCCTCTTTTCAGCAAAAGCAAATGCTCACCGATCCTGAGACAATGAGGTTGGACTGTGGGTTGAAATTGCAGCAGAAGACATAGTTGCTGTGCCCCTTCAGGGTTTTCAAGCATTTCCCCTAAAAAGATAATAAAAACAGTAAATGGGCCAGAGCTCCATATTCTTAGGACTGGCTGCATGTTGAGGAATGTAGTACCATATGGTGCAGACACTAGAGATAACACACACCGGCCTGGGACTCAAGTTTAAAATGCTCAGCTATTGGGTGGGAGAGAACCAGTGTCAGCTCACCTGGAGACAAAGCTACATCTGCAGGATGTCCTGGTTCCCTGCTCCCCATCCCCCAATGTTAAGTGACCACAGTACCATTAGTGGAATGAACCACTAACAGGTTTAACAGGCCAACAATGAGCCAGCAACGCAGGAAGGGAATTCCTATATCTCCCCTTCAAAAAGTTAACCAAAAAGGGAACTGCATTTAAAAACTATTCAGCCTGCAAAACAACCGTTAAGACAAACTCGCTAATCTTGGCCTTAAAAAAATGCTTTGTTATCCATGCACATTTCAATGAAAATATGTACACTACAGCTCTCAAAGTTAAGCCAACACAAACTTCTTTTTGTTGTCAGGAACATAAATACCCATGAGAAGGAAAATGTGTGTTAAATTTTCCATAGCAGTTTAAGATATTTAAAGGCTATATATCTGATGGCTGGGTCCACATTAAGGGGTGAAGGTATTTGTTTATAGGTTGGACTGTTAATAATAATAATCCACACACAAAAAGGATTATATTACTGCCTAAAATGGGTCTCTGACATTGTCTGAATTATCAGAACGGATCCCTTAAAGATTTATTTTAACCACACAGGTAGTTTTTATGTATTCGTTATGCACAGACTGCTGGCAACATTTTGTAAAATGAACAGGATATAAATTGAGGTAAATTTATTTTGAACTTTTAATCTAGCCTTTTAACAACCAAGAGCAGACTCAGTTCAATGGACAGGAAAACCTAGAAGTCCTGATAAAGCTGAGTTTGTGATTCAGTGCCATGAAAAGTCAGAAGTGAGTTTAGCTGGATCAGGAGCACCATTATAGATAGACAGTCATATTAGAATCCAGTTAAGGCTCTCCAAGATGGCTGGGTGGTAAGCAAAACAAGTAGGGGATGCAACTACAAGCTTCTTACCGAGCTCACGTCCCAGATTTTGAGAGTTTTGTCATCTGAAGCAGATACAAGAAGGTTTGAATCAGATGACCAAGCGACATCAGAGATTCCCTGCAACAGATAATGTTTAGTTTTTTACAAAAAGTCATTCGCCTGTTTTTAACTGAGAAACTGTGTACAATTTACAAAGAATGAGGTGGTTACAAATGCAGACTGCAAATAGGATAATATTTCTAAATGCTCCCTCTAGCAAAAAAAAAAAACCCCTCCCTCCAAGCAGCAGAGCATAACAGAAACCAAAAAAAGGGTTAGCCAAATAACTCCTTCTCTCTCATGTACTATTTTGCAATGAACTTTTCTCATGTTCTAGCAGGCATAAAAACCAAACAACCCAAGCAACAGAAATGGTTAACGATCTACTCCTGAATCAAAAAGCAACTGTTGTAACCTGTTCCCCATGCCCCCATAGGCTAAATTCCTCCAGGCAAGACGATGGTTAAAACTCCCCAGCCACCGATTCCTTATTTGCATAGGCAGAAGCCACTGTTACATCTTGAGGCACTTGTCCAGTTAACTCTGCGACAAACACTTCAATCATTCCCCTTATTAATTGGGAAGTACTCACCAGCTTGTGGCCAGATATGGTTTTCTCAAATTTGCCATCATAGGCACCCCAGATTTTTATAAGCTTATCAGCCGCTAAAAGAAAGAAGAGAATCCACCAACAAAAATTATTTTAGGCACCTTGACCCTGCAACACAGGGGTGGGGAGGCATGCAGGTATTTTTGAACTCTGATTATACTCTTTTTTGCCCTCTTTTTAGAGAAGATGGGGGTTATAAAGATGCATTTGTTTAAGTGAATACATAAATACAGCCCACCAACATATGATATAAGCAGAAGAATTTTCACGCCTCTCACATCTGAGTAGGAAACTGTGCAAATGTACTTGACTTGCACAAGGCATATAATTCAGTTTCAAATGCAGACTGTAAATAGGATATTTCTAAATGCTCCCTCTAGCAAAAAACCCAAAAAACCCTCCCTCCCTTAGTTTTCATAGTGTACAGGAAGTCCCAAGTGTGAAATTAGCAATGGTAAGAACCATCTAAAAAGGGACATTCACTCTGGAAGAGCATCTGCTCTGCATGCAGAAGGTTCCAGGTTCAATACTTGGCAAACTGAGGTAGAGTTGGAAAATAACCCCCCACTTGAAATCCTGGAGATCTGCTGCCAGTCAGTATCGATGGTATCCTGACCTGAATGGACCAATGGTCTGACCATGTATAAGGCAGCTTCCCACCTTCTCGGACAGGAGAGAATGCCTAATCTTTGCCCCAAGAATGAATAATCCAAAAAAACAAAGAGGGTTTGGCTCTTGCTTGATGCATGTGCTAACACAATGAACACTAGATTTCTTGAACTGGGAAACAGCCCTAGAAATAAATGTGAATAGGAGTCAGGAAAGGATCCCTCTTGACCATGTCAGAATGGATACTTACAAGAACTGGCCAGCCACTCCCCATTGGGACTGAATTTCACTGATGAGACAGCTTTTGTGTGTCCTGCCAGCGTGAACTTCAGGGCATAGTTTGGTTTTACAGGGGCAGGCTGAGAAAAGAAAACCACAAAGAGATGCTTCAAGAACAGCCCTACAAAACTTGCATGACTCTCTGAGCCTGACTTAGCATGCTGTGGTCTGTCAGGTGGCCTGCCACAGCACCTGTTATTGCTGTCCCAGGCAGGCAGGATCCAAACCCAACAGGTATTCAGGAAACAGTCAGAAATACTCAAAGATAAGGGAGCCCAAGATGGATGGGGGTCGGACCTAATCAAAATGATCAAGTTTAGTTTGACCTCTAACAACCCTTCTGTGTTGTGTTAGATCAGGCTACCTCAAACTCGGCCCTCCAGATGTTTTTGAGACTACAATTCCCATCATCCCTGACCACTGGTCCTGCTAGCTAGGGATCATGGGAGTTGTAGGCCAAAAACATCTGGAGGGCCGAGTTTGAGAAAGCCTGTGTTAGATGCTTGGAAAGAGCTGGATTAGAACTTTCCCTTACAATTCCTTTTGATACTTTCCAAAGGGAGGCAACCTATAAGCAGGCAACAGTAAACAGCATGGCAGTTAGATCCTTATGAATGAATCTAGATCTGCCTCTAGTGACAGAAGAGTCGGAGCTGGGTTTGGGCTCTTAACTGAACAGTATCCAACAAACATGCCCCATAAAATCAGGTCCACACACAAGAGTTTACCATCCTCAGACTATTTGAACTTGCAGACAGAATTACAGCCCAGAAGCCCTGACACACACCTTGCTCTGATTGGTTGAAGAGGAGGGTGTTGATTGTGTTTTGGTTGATTCTGAATCTGGCTTCTTCTCTTCCGTTGCCATGGCTATGAAAACTAGCAAGCCAGGATCTGGGCACTTCACGGGATGGAAGTGCAAGCCAATTCAAAGGAGGGTGTCTCCTACAAGAAAACAGGGAGAAAATAATGGTTTTCCAAACTTAAGGCAGCCAAGGCACACATCACAGACACAAACCCCAAATTAAAACTAGAAGCCCATTGCACCAATACACCTACAACCCACATGAGTCCTGCTGGATCAGACCACAGTCTACCTCATCCTGCAACAGCCTTCCCATTTGCTCACCAGCACCTGATATTCCAAGGTGGAGCATCTCTGAACACAGAGGTTCAATCATGCCCAATGACAAATTTTAAAGCTTCTTAAAGCCATTATCACACTTTGTAGCGACCATCTCTTGGACTGTGATGGCAGTCTCCTAAAGCTGATGTTATAAATTCTTTAGTGTTTGTGTAAGCGCTGACTTGAGAGGCAGGAGAAAAATTAGGGGTTGGTTTTTAAGCTAGTTACCAGCCATACCCAGGGCTTTGTCCTTCAACACTTGCTCTCTTGTTCTGCACTTGCTTTTCCCAAAAATAACTTCCAGAGGGGTAGCTGCAGTAGACAGTGGCAGCAAAGACAAAAAAGAAACCATTCTCTCTATTCAGACCCAAACACAGCATATGCAGCTATCTACTACCAGGACCCTTCTGAATGCTACACCTAGTCCCTGCACAAGGGAGTCACTGGCACAAATCCTACATCAGAAAAAGGCAGTATTAAAAAAACAGTAGTACATTTCAATCTGAAAAGACACTATGCCATTGATCTTAAGGTGACCAGACCTAAGCAAAACAATTTCAAAGGCAGGGTCCAGAGAGAAACAACTGAGGTCAAATCTATTCTATACATTTAAAACCCACAGCTTCCCCCAAAGAATCCTGGGAACTGTAGTATGTCAAGGGTGCTGGGAATTGCAGCTCTGTGAAGGGGTAAATGACAGTTCCCATGATTTCTCTGGGGAAAGCTACATGCTTTAACAGTGCTTTAAAAGTGCGGACGTGATTCATCAAGAAGTTTACGTCTATTCATTTGGATCTGAACAGAGGCAATGGTTTCCTTTCCCACTACAACTGTTAATTAATTCAGCACTGCCCAGTTGCTATGGCAGAGTCACTCAGCTTATTTTGCATATATTATAACTCTTAACTGAATTAAGACACTTCATTGTTTTTCCCCATTAAACATATTTTCCATTCGAAAATTTTAAAACAGAAAGCTGGTAAAGCTTGCCTCCCATTCCACATCTGTGCAAATCTGCAAAAAGTAATACAAACTGTCATGTGTAAGTTGTTGTTAAACTGGGAAGTCAGACTCTCAAACATGCAAGGTCTGGGTGATTTAAGAAATCAAGTCTTCTGGGTTTGCAATACCAACAAATGCTAATAGTAAGATTCAGAAATGAAATGAAATTAAGAGTTTGGGAGTTTAAAGGTCAGCCCGCAAACAACCTAAGGAGAAAAGAGGGTTTGCTGCTGTTGCAGCAAAACCCCATCTTCTATGTCTGAGTCTCCAAAGAAGTCTGATAAAATGCTGCACTCATATTATAGGAAATTTGAGCTGTTACTGCGGAGGGAACCGTCTCACTGCAGCATTGCTCCAGGTGTGCTTTCACCAGATATAGCAGGACTCTTGCCTCAAGGTGTAGTACAGGCAATGTATTATATTACACATACAGAGACCGTCATGTCACATTAAGCCACAGTTTTAAAACAACTTATGGTTTATCCAGAATGAGAAGGGTGCCAGCACTCACTTCTCAAAAGAAATTCAACCTTGTTCCTATGTATCAAAGACAAAACAATCTAGAGTTGGCCTTGCTGTGCTGCCCAGATCTGGACTCTTGCTTTTGCTTCCTCCAAACAAACCACAAGTGGTAAGCCAAGAACAAACCTTGGTTAATGCCGTGGCTTGTTTGAAGGAAACACGCCACAAGTTGAGGTTCAGAAGACACAGGAAAACAGAAAACTGTCCTAAACAAAGTCAAATGAACCCTTGCGTTCATCTAGCACACTACTGTCTGCACTAACTGGCAGCAGCTCTCTAAGGTTTCAAACAGGGAGTCTCTCCCGCAGAAGGTGGGCAGGAAGAGGAGCCACTAGGAAAGGAGGGATGATAGACTAGGTGGACCTGGCAACAGGGATCTCCTTAAGTTCTTACTGCTACTGTGGGTGCAGGTAATGATGGATGATATGGAGGAGGAAGAGCGTTAGCACTACTGCTGGCACTGCTTTAAAACCAACATTAAATAATTCAATGGATAGGTGGTAGTAACATTACTAGGAGCATTATCACTACCACAAACAATAATCACAACAATTAGTAGCATAATTATTACTAAGAGCATTACTGCTACACTAATACAGACACACACACACACACACACACACACACCCCACCTTACACATGACCAACTTGACCACGTATATGCACAGAGCCAGGAAATAAACAAATAGATGGTGGGACAGAACTGGAGAGTTTTTCTGGCTCGCAAAAAGACCCTCTTGGGAGCTCAAAAAGAACTTCAATGAGGGCGGAAGAAACCCCAGAGAGACAAGAAGTGCAGGGGGTACAGTAGTGCAGCCGCCGCCGCCGCTTTTTCACGTGTCCTCCAGCCTCCAGACAGCCCCAAAGCTTCAACTCTAGTTGAAGAGAGTATTGCATGGAGAGTGTGTGGGGGAGAGAACTGGAGAGCGGGGGGGGGGGAGAGGCATTTAGAGGCTTTTTATAGGGTACTCCCCCCCTTACGTGATTTTCGCTTATGCACACAGGGGCCCAGAATGTAATCCCCGCTTAAGTTGGGGGGGATGCCTGTAACACAAACAGCTATATTGCAGGTTCTGTCGGAGATTACCGCAATAAAGCAAACATCACAATAAAGCAAGTCACACAAATTTGTTGTTTTCTCAGTGCATATAAAAGTTATACTCACTCTTGGGAAATGATATATAATGAATTTTTTTAAATGTTTAAGATAACATTTGTTAAAAAACTAGAAGCTTTTCTGTTAGGTATTTTAGGACAAGAATTGCTAAAAGAAAAACGGAACCTATTTATGTATGCTACAACAGCGGCAAGAATCTTAATAGCTCAAAACTGGAAGACTGGAGAAGTACCATCAAAAGCACAATGGCAAAAAAAGTTGATGAGCTATGCAGAAATAGCAAAGTTAACGGACAAATTGCGTGAAAAGGACAATAGTGACTTTGAAAAAGAATGGGAACCTTTTACAATATATTTGCAGAAACAACAAGAATTATTATTATTATTATTATTATTATTATTATTATTAGAATTTATATACCGCCCTATACCTGGAGGTCTCAGGGCGGTTCACAAAAAAGATCAGAATATATAAAATCAAAATAAAACAACCCAATAATAACCCCCATCAATCACTATGTCATTGTTTATGTATTATTCTTATTATTCATCTGGTATTTTAGTTGGTTAGTCTTAGTCTCTCTCTCTCTCTCTCACTCACACACACACACACACACACACACCCTACATTCTGTTTCTGTTTATTACATTTCTATACCGTCCTTCACCTGGCAGATCTCAGGGCGGTTCACAGCATAAAAACATGAAATATACAATGAGAATGAGAATAAAACCAAGCAACCAACCAACCGCTCCCCTTCCCTCAGGTACACTGCCTCTGCCCACGGAGGCTCCCTCCCTCCCTCATTCTGACATGACTCAACAGACCTTCAGTTTCTGAGCAGCACAATTCAATCGTCTTGTTGGCTGGATTTAAATAAACATTTACAACTTTATTTACAGAGAATAAGAACTTTAACAATGTGACAACATATTACAGTATACAAACAGCAGAATGTATCATTTGATGTAACAAACCAGAAATGGTAGTTGAGGAAAGTCAACAGGGAGGGGAGAAATTGGAAAATGTATGTTTAGTAATGTTATTGGATATTTGTTATGAGAAAAGAAACTTAATAAAAATTATTTTTTTTAAAAAAAAATGTTCACTATACTGAGGTCCAGTGATTCTCAACGTTTTTTGAGTCCATGGCTCCCTTGCAGATTCCCTGTAGGAACCACTTACACTGGGGTTCCATTGCAAGACACACGTTCCGCCCGCCCCTGCCCCCAGTCCCACCCCCTTTTTGCACCACTGCTGCTAATATTACCCAAGTACAGGCTCTGGAGTAAACTAAATGCCTTACAGATGCCTCCATCTCTGCCCCATTTTTATGAGCTGAAAAAACTGAGGAAAAGGAATAATGATCAAACCTACCAAGAGGGCTGGGGCAACCTCAGAGCTTCAAATTCACCACTCAGCTATGAAGCTCCCTGGCTGCAAACTTGGGGACCAGTCACTGCCTCTCAGCCAGACCTACGTGACAAGGTTGATGTGCAGACAGAATGGGGAGGTGGGCAGCAAGAACCACGTACACCACTTTGGAGCTCCCTGTAGAAAAGATGGAATATACGGTAATTGTGATAACACACACAATAGCCCTAAACACAACCGAGCAGGAAGTTTTCCTGCACATTCCCCTTTCAAATCAACAGGAACCCAAGCAACGCTACCGCTCTGCAAAGTGCAATAAAATGACGTATACCAGTACTAGTAGTTCCTTAGCAGTCTCATTATGAAAATTGGATTTTATTCAACAGTAGTTCTATCCAAGAGTAGGACCACTGGGATTAATGGACATAGAATCATAGAACTGTAGTTGGAAGGGACACCAAGGATCATCTAGTCCAATTCCCTGCAATGCAGAAATCACAGCTCACAAATCCCAGGCAGATAAGTCATCAGCAGTGTGATCCTATGTATATGTAGTCCAAAGTAAGCTTCATGTACCATCAAAAGAACAATGGCAAGAAAAGTTTATGAATTATGCAGAGTTAGCAAAGTTAACGGACAAACTGTATGAAAAGGACAACGGTGATTTTTAAAAAGAATGGGAACCTTTTACAATATATTTGCAGAAACAACTTGTTGGCAGGATTTAAATAAACATTTACAATCTTATTTACAGAGAACAAGGAAGCTGAGGGAAGTCAATAGGGAGGGGGGAAATTGAAAAATGAATGTTTAGTTAGGATATTGGATATTTGTTATGAGAAAAAAATCAATAAAAATTATTTAAAAAACAAAGTAAGCTTCATGGTGTGGAACAGACTACCTGGGAAGGTGGTGGACTCTCCTTTGTTGGAGGTTTTTAAACAGAAGTTGTATGGCCTTCCAACTCCGAATCCAATTTTATGATTCTATTATTTCCTCTCAGCCTAACCTACCTTACAGTACTGTTGTGAGAATAAAGGGAGGGGAGGACAACATAGACCTCAGCATGAAAGGACCCAGTAGGACTCCATGATTCTGTTTCCACATGGTCCAACTTTTCTTCCTAATTGTCCAATATTCAATTGGGTGAGGGGTTAGAATTCTCTAATTTCCCTCTTTCTTTTGGGGTCCCTCAAGGATTCATTACCAGTCCTCAGCTCTCCTCCCTCCACAACCTGTCCCTGCGGGACTTCATCAAACCCAACCCAGGGAACCCCCCCTCCACGCTGCTGAATCCCCTTCCTCGCAAGGAAAGGGCAGGGGAGCCGCTGCGCACTCTGCATATGATTAACTTAGGCCCATTCACGGCAATGGGTCTGCTCTGAGCAGATCCTCGTGGGATGCAACCCACTATTACTATTGGGGGCTCTACTTAACAGCCCCCTCTTCAAGCATGCCGGCATCCATGACCTCATCGCCATACCTGTGCCACCACCGGGCGCGTTATTACTCCTGGAGGCGCTAAGCAGCAGCCTCACTGGGAGCATCGCCACGAGTGTGGTGGCACTCACTACCCAGCATTCTCGCGAGGGACATCCTCGCCATCGGTGGCACTACTTAGAAGAGGAGCCCGAGCATCGTGGCCACCGGGAAGCCTAACCGTGGTGGCCCATAAGGAGCAGCGGCAGGAAGGACGGCGGGAGAAGCGTGCAGGGGCGCCAGCGTGCATCTCCCCACCCCGAAGGACTCGCTACTGGGCTCCAGCAGGAGAAGCTCTCTCCCCCCCGCGCGTGCGCTTTTCCCGCGAGGAAGCGAGGGACAGGCGGAGGGTGCGGGCCCAGACTCTCCCCCCGCTTCCCTAGCCCCCTTCCCCGGCCCCCTCCTCTCCTCAGCGATCCGGTTGCTATCTCCGCGAACGAGGCGGAGGTGCCGCCGCCGCTTTTCTCCTCACAAGTCGAACTCACCTTAAGGCGCGGCTAGAGGCGCCGCTTTCGCCGCCGCCGCCTTCACCTCAGCGCTCGGCGGGAGAAGCAGCAGCAGCAGCAGCAGCAGAAGCCGCGGCAGCAGCTCTCTCTTGAGGAGGAGGGCCTCGCGCAGGCGCACTAAACGCACCCGGCTGGGAAAAAGCGACGCACCACTCACGGCACCCGCGCTGGCTGCAGCTCAAGGGAAAGAGACGGTAGCAGCGGCGGCGGCGGCGGCGGTGCCCACGCGCATGCGCTCTACGCACCTACCACGGGCCGGCTTCGCCGCGATGACGTTATCAGACTACAATTCCCATCGACCCGCCCCTTACGCACAGCGACCAAGGCGTGAAGGGAGTTGCAGTCCAGGGAGGGAGGCCCCACCCTTAAAGGTATAGTGTCCGCAAAGGGACAATGATATTCTTTTTTTCCAAAAACGGACGAAGCCCACCTTAAAAAGGGGCGGGGATTAGAAGGGCGAGGAGAGCAGGCTGACCTGAGCGCGCCTACGGAGCGCCGAGAGGAACCAAAAAAGCAGGCGGCGTGGATGGGAACGCGGACGCCAAACGCCTTAAAGGGGAGCGACGTCTTTGTTCGCCGCCTGAAATGTGCGAATGGGTTGGAAGCAGGCAAAAAAAAAAAAAAAGACACGTGTCGGTCCTTCTCAGGGCAGGGGCTGAATTAGAAGCGGCGAGGCTTGTATAACTGAGCGAGGCAGAAGAAGCTTTCCTTAACTTTATACATTGCATAAAGTATTAATTATTTTGCATCAGTGTTATAGTTAAAATTTCACACCCACACCTAACGATTTGTATTCTATGAATGAGTGAGTAAATGAATAAATAAATAAATAAATAAATAAATAAATGCATTCCTGCACCTCAAGATAATAGTTCATGTATGCGATGTAGTAGTAGACTGTAGCCCACATAATATTTAGCTTCAATGAAATACCCTGTGTAAGCGCCTGGAACCCCTCACACTGCTCAGAGATCGGGGTGGTGTGCGTGCCACAATATTATCCTGCTTTGCAGACAATTATTGTCTTCCAGAATGACTCACATCAATTAAAGACACAGGTGTGTTATTTACAACACAGGGAGAGAAGCTTTTTTACACATGTATAGAACCTGTGTAGCACCCTGCTTGTGGTTAACGCTTAGCTGGAATGAAATATTCAACGCAGCAATAGAGAAATTAAAATAATAATTTATTTGTCAGACAAATAAATGAGAGACACAGTGGTATATGGATACCAAAGCTCTGCCTACTCCAGCCCTGATGGCCAGCACTTATATTTCCTCAGCCCAGCCCCCTTGCTCCTCCTTTGGCTGCCTCTGTCCAATCATCCTGGTTGAAATTCCTATTGGTTGTTTGCTAGAACCAATCATAAAAGATACACCCATTTCCTATTCCCTTTTATGGGAGACAAAAAGCTATATTTCCTTGTATCCATAAATGGCAGACAAGTAGCCATATATCTTACATTTACCTCGACCAGGCACCTCAATTACCAGATAACCTTTGGCCCCTGTTGCCCTATTCACCGCAAACCAGATGGCTAAAGCAGATGGTGCATGGTTTCTAATTTTTTTATCTTAAAGAGATCTTGAGTTCACCTTCTCACCCACCATAATAGGAATCTAACATAAGAATCTAACATTTCTTACTTTCTAAATCCTTTGCATAATTACATTTAAGCCAATATATTTCATACATAACATAGATAGATTTTTAGAAGGAAAGGCCTTTTCAAATTAGAAGGAACTTAGTGAAAGCTAAGTTCCTAAGTTCTATAAAGAAACCTTTTTCCCTATCCAGCAGCTGTTTCTAAGAGCAACCTCTTCCATTTAACCTTTAACCTTATGGCTCGAGTCTTCTGTTAAACAATAAATTTCACTATTTACCAGTTCTTAATTGTGTTTTTACAGCTTGATTGTATTCTGGTCAGTGTGACCTTTTGCTCTCTGGCTCTAATTTCCTTTTACAACCTTGAAATACTTTTATTTATAGCAGTGGGGCCCCTTGAACAGCTGCCGGAGTATTCAGCTGCTCTTCTCCCTTGCATGAGAGAAATATATTTACAAATATAATTTTTTAAGCTCAAAGCAGATTTTGATCAGATGCCTCATTCCCCCCTTTCAAGCTCAAGGACCTTCATCCCAAGTGTCCTTGATAGCTTGACCTTCGTCATATTCCTGAGGTAAAGCTCTGTATAGGGCCATAATATGAGGTAAAGTTTCATTTGAAATCATCTTGCTAATTGTACTTCTAAAACATGAAATGATACATGGCACCGTACATAAAACCATTACTACTACCGTCAAGAAAAACAAGCAAGACAATAGTATCCCTTTGAGTCCCGCAACATTAGGTAACCAATTGGTGAGCCATCCCATATCCCATCCTTCCCATATTTGTACTGGGACATGTGCTATACTCTCCATCTTTGTGGCCAACACACGGATTGCCTCACCATTATCAGAAATGTTAAAGCAACAGGCATTCCCTGTCAAGTTCAAGACTCCACATAGGCCTCCCTGCCTGGCAAGTACATAATCCATTCCCATTTTCAGCTGCAAAATGGCGGCTCTACTTTCATCCAACTGTTGTGCAATAAGTCTCAAACTCTGGGCCGTTGCATTGGTTACAAGTTCCACTACTGCTTGCAATCGAATTATTCTGTTTAGATTATAAATAGGATCCCGTGCCCCTTGTATGAGCTCATCAGGATTCCAGGAGGCAGGCTCATAATAGGCTATAATGCGCTCTGGTGGCCAATCATCAGTATCACTCCAACTTTGGGTACTTCCTCCTGCTATATGAGAAATATCAGCATTTCTTCGTGTACGCTTTGCCGAACTAGTGGGCATAATCCACATTGGTGGTAATACCCATCCCAGGAAACAAGTCCCACTCCATTTGGGAGGGAGTTGCTTGTATGCCCATTCTCCACATATCCACCACAACCATCGGGTCTGAGGTTTTTGGTACGTGGAGTGCATAAGGCGAAATATCAAAAGGGGCATAGAGTTCACAGTGCAGTATGTTAGATTGCCTTTTTCTGTCACAGTTATGTTCCACACCAGTTTCCATGCATGAATAAAAGGAGGTGCACAGGGCAAGGTATTCCGAGTTCGATAGGTAGTACCGTTTGCCCAGGTTTGACTATTCTTAATATAATCCCAAGTATAGTGGCAATGAGAAGAGCCTATCATGATAGAATCAGCTGCAGCTGATAATTTATGTACACAGAATTCCCCTTGCACAGGTATAACTCGTATTGGTTTAGTTGAGTTCCATCCGGGGAAATTCTGTACTTCTGTTTGGTGTGGCATTTCGCTCACCATACCAATGGCATTTAATGGTATCGGTAATAAGGGCATACCTCCCTCTGAATCATCTGGTCCAAGAGAGCAAACAAGGCAATTGGTCCTATTTGTAACATTGGCTACCATCTCAGCTAAGCCTACCCACATATTGTGGTCATGGCGGAATCCATATTTAGCAAATTTGGTCAGATTCAAGGACCCTTCCCCTTCCCAAGGGATCAGGATTAATAATAAAATCATGTTGATGTCTAGTATATGCATTTCTTCCACAAAAGATTACCTTATTGTGATAACAAAAAATATTAGGCCCAATATAATCCCCCAATGACAGAAATGGGGAACCACCAAGACCAAAACATATATCCCGAGGATCCCCAATGAGTAATATCCCTGATAATTGTTCCACAAGGGGGGGGGGCAGTCAATCAATTGTATAAGAGAATCTTCCTGTTCACAATCGCTAGTTCAGACGCTCCTCAAGCTTCAGGCGTGCGCAGGTCAGCCAGCTTCCAGGTTGTGGCTGCAGCAGGCCGGTCGTCTAATGTTGCCCGTGACCTAGCCCGTTCCCCGTAGGGCTAGATACAGGGGTTTTGGAGAGAGTCAGTTTAAAAGGATTAGAGGGGTCACCTTTGCACGTCCAACTGCCTTCGGACTTCTTCAAACGGGAGTGATGAATCCAGGGGGTCACCTCAGCTACCTTCACCGCTGTTGGAGTAGAGAGCAAGACGGTGTAAGGCCCACGCCACTTAGGTGCAAGTGGATCACGTTTCCACTCTTTCACCCATACGCTATCGCCAGCCTGGAACTGATGAATCGGCTCGGCAATGCTGCACGGCGTGCGCTCGAGGGCCCACCTGTTAAGAGAAACAAAAACACGGGAGAGAGATTGCACTTGTCCCTGTGTCACATGGTCTCCTATTTGTTTGAGGTCAGCTGGAATATCCTGAACAAAGGAGGGTGGCCTCCCATACAGGAGCTCAAAAGGTGACAACTTAAGTCTTTTTGTGGGTGCACACCGAACACGAAACAGTGTTATGGGTAACACATCTACCCATCCCAATCCTGTTTCCTGGGTTAATTTTGCCAATTGGGTTTTCAGAGTCCGATTCATAACTTGTTAGATCCTTCGCCAAGGCAGTGCCAAATAAAGTTGGGGAATTTTTGAATCCCTGGGGCAATCTTGTCCAGGTTAGCTGGCCTTTTGTTCCTGTCAAAGGGTCTTCCCACTGGAAGGCAAATATAGGTTGGCTCTGTGGTGCCAGCCGGCAACAGAAGAATGCATCTTTCAAGTCCAATACAGTAAAAATGTTGCTTCTGGTGGGATCAAACTCAGCAAGGTATATGGGTTTGGTACATTTGGGTGCAAGGTCTCGATAGCCTGGTTTACGAGCCTCAAGTCCTGTACTGGCCTGTATTCATCTGTCCCAGGCTTCCGAACAGGCAAAGGGGTGTGTTCCATTCTGATTGGCAGGGCTTAAGCAGACCATATTTTAATAGGCGGTCCAAATGTTTCTGGATGCCCTCTGCTGCTCGCCGGGGTAAAGGATATTGCTTTACAGATACAGGGGTAGCCATAGGTTTTAGGGTTACTACAATTGGAGCTATATTCTTAGCCATTCCTGGTGGGCTATTTTCGGCCCATACTCCTGGTGGCACTTGTAGGGTTCGGAGGAGCTTGTTTAATTCTGTATCCAATGTGGGTTGGACTTGCAGGGCTGACATTAGGCGCCATGATTGTTCCTTAGGTATTGAGAGGGAAATTATTCCTGCTGCCTTTGATGGCAGTTTCATTTCTGGACCTCGAGGAGTGAAGGTGATTTGGGCCTGCAATTTGGACAGCATATCTCTACCTAAGAGAGGCATTGGACACTCAGGTATATACAAAAACTGATGGGTTAAATGATGTCCCCCAATCTGGCATTCTAAAGGTTGGAGGAAAGACCTCTTAGCTGACTGACCAGTGGCACTTTTAATGACTACACTTTTGGATGCCTTTTTCTGCAAAAGTTCTGGGAGTACTGAGTATTCAGCGCCAGTATCTATCATAAAGTCTATTAAATGGCTCCCTAATTGAATTTTGACCGTGGGCTCCTGGAAGCCTAACTTTATGGAGTCCGGTCGTTCCTAGTCTTGGGTAAAATCCTCCTCTGCCAGTCCAATAAAATTGTCTCTACTCCGTCCTTGTCCAGGTCTCTGATATCTTCCATCTCGGATCATTCCCCGTCCCCGTCCCTGGTTTCTTGGGCCGGAGCCTGGGCCTGGGCCTGGGCGTACTTCTTCCAACCTCAGGGGTTCAGGACACTCCCGCTTCCAATGACCCTCCTTCTTGCAATTCGCACATTGATTCCTTCCCAGTGGTGGATTCCTTCCCCGCCCTCTCCCTCCATTTAAAGGGCGGTAGTCTTGCTTCACTGCTGTGGCTAGCATCACCATCTTTTCCTTCTGCCACTTCTTCTTCTCTTGCTTCTCAGCCTCATCCCTATTCCGATAAACTCGGCGTGCAATGGCCATAATTTGGCTCATCAGCATCCCTTCCCATCCTTCTGACTTCTGAATTTTCTTACGAATGTCAGAAGCGCACTGAGCCACAAAAGTAGCAGTAATCATTCTGCTGTTTGCAGGGGCTTCAGGGTCAAAAGGAGTCCATATACGATAGGCTTCCTGCAGCCTCTCTGAAAGTCTCCCGGACTCTCATTCGGTTTCTGTTCTACTTCTGAGACTTTAGTCATATTAGTGGGCTTCTGGCATGCCCTGCGGATACCTTGCACAAGCGTCTGGCGGTAGGTGGTAAGCCTGGCCAGGTGAATTGCATTGTTTGGATCCCAATTAGGATCCTCCAAGGGAAAATTGTCCTGGAGATGACGGTCAACATTAAGAATATTTCCCACTCTGGCCTGCTCACGCAAATATATCTGTGCCTTTTCAATTATGTCTCTTCTTTCCTCAGTGGTGAACAGAGTATTCAGGAGCTGGCGGCAATCTGTCCAAGTAGGACTATGAGTATTTACTATTGAAGTCACCAAGTCCATCATAGCCTGAGGTTTTTCTGCGAAAGACGGGGTGTGTGTTTTCCAATTCATCAGATCCGTAGTTGTGAATGGAATGTACTGGAGGGTCGAAGTTCGAGGTGGCCGTGGTCCGAGTTGCCCGTTAACCAGCACAGGCTCCTCAAGTGCATCAAATACTCTTCTGAGAGGGGCTACTACATGACCCTTCTCTTCGCTTTGCTTTAGGGGCCTCAAATCATAGGGGATAGTATTTGTCCCAAGGCGTTCTTTTAACAGCTTTATACGCCTGGCTGTATTGCTTACTGACCGATCAAAGTCTCCCTGTAACTCCTGTAATAGTTCTCTAGGACTTGGATGTACAGGGGTTTGGGGTGGGCAATCAGTTGTTCCACTAAAGGAGACTGTAGATGGAGTTCTACTGGGACTCACAGGTGGAATAACCACTTCTGCTTGGGCTTTATTATAGGACTCCAATGCCTCCTGAAGATATTTATCATAATCTATCAAGGAATCAAGCTCTGTGACTCCAGCCCCATTATTCCTTCCACTTTCTTGCCTTGGGGTTACAACTGGTGGAGTGTTTGGATTAGGCTCCCTCGATGTGGAGCATAGGGTGGAGGTGGAAGCACCTCTTCCTCTGGTCCCTCAAAAATGGGTTTGAGTTTATTTGGCAAGATTCCTTTCCTAGCTTCGGCTTTTACAGCCAATAATTTGCATTGTTGGACTTTGCATTCCCTTATCCATGGAGGATTATTATTTAATGTGCTCAGCCAAGAATCTATATATGAAAATTGTTCTGGGCACCCTCCAGTTTCTTTGGTGATGTTAGACCAAAGTTTGCTTGCTAAATTTATATCAAAACTTCCCTGAGGTGGCCATCCAGTATTTTGTTTTGGCCAGTCTAATTCACATAACGTTCTCAAGCGCTCTGGCATCATTTTGACTCCATATGCTCCTGAGAAGGCTTTCTTAAAATTATTTAACATACATTCAAGAGGTGTATTTTCCCCCTTTGAACCTCCAACTCCCATTGTATGGCCCTGTGAAGTATCCACTCAGTCACTCACACACACGCTTCGTGGGGATCCTTGCCTAGTGAAGTCGCCTTACTAGGAACCGAAGTACTACCCACTCCACACTCAGGTCAGCTACAAATTGTACTTTCTCACACATACAATGCGCTGGATACTTCACCACACTCTACCTCCCAATCTTTCCCTTTTCCCTCCACCAGACCACCATCTGATGTACCCAACCACCTAGCGTACTCAGTTCCCCCTTACTGAGACGCAGAAGTTTGATCAAGACTTCTCTTCCTCCCAATTAATTGGAGGGCCACAACCCCTTTGTGCACTTACCCTTAGCTGGTTCCCTGTTTATTTCTCTGGTTACCCCCGGTCCATCGCCGCCAGTGAGCAGGGTATCAGACAGACGAGACTTCTGCGTTCCCCTGGAAAAATGTTCCAGTGCGCGCTGGGTAAGCGGTCAGTGGTCCTCCCTCTTGTACCCTGCCCGCTAGGGCGAAGGGGCTGCGTTCCAGCAGACCACTTATCCGAGTCACAGAGGCACCATAAAATGTAGCACCCTGCTTGTGGTTAACGCTTAGCTGGAATGAAATATTCAACGCAGCAATAGAGAAATTAAAATAATAATTTATTTGTCAGACAAATAAATGAGAGACACAGTGGTATATGGATACCAAAGCTCTGCCCACTCCAGCCCTGATGGCCAGCACTTATATTTCCTCAGCCCAGCCCCCTTGCTCCTCCTTTGGCTGCCTCTGTCCAATCATCCTGGTTGAAATTCCTATTGGTTGTTTGCTAGAACCAATCATAAAAGATACACCCATTTCCTATTCCCTTTTATGGGAGACAAAAAGCTATATTTCCTTGTATCCATAAATGGCAGACAAGTAGCCATATATCTTACATTTACCTCGACCAGGCACCTCAATTACCAGATAACCTTTGGCCCCTGTTGCCCTATTCACCGCAAACCAGATGGCTAAAGCAGATGGTGCATGGTTTCTAATTTTTTTATCTTAAAGAGATCTTGAGTTCACCTTCTCACCCACCATAATAGGAATCTAACATAAGAATCTAACATTTCTTACTTTCTAAATCCTTTGCATAATTACATTTAAGCCAATATATTTCATACATAACATAGATAGATTTTTAGAAGGAAAGGCCTTTTCAAATTAGAAGGAACTTAGTGAAAGCTAAGTTCCTAAGTTCTATAAAGAAACCTTTTTCCCTATCCAGCAGCTGTTTCTAAGAGCAACCTCTTCCATTTAACCTTTAACCTTATGGCTCGAGTCTTCTGTTAAACAATAAATTTCACTATTTACCAGTTCTTAATTGTGTTTTTACAGCTTGATTGTATTCTGGTCAGTGTGACCTTTTGCTCTCTGGCTCTAATTTCCTTTTACAACCTTGAAATACTTTTATTTATAGCAGTGGGGCCCCTTGAACAGCTGCCGGAGTATTCAGCTGCTCTTCTCCCTTGCAGAGAAAAATATATTTACAAATATAATTTTTTTAAGCTCAAAGCAGATTTTGATCAGATGCCTCACCTGAGCCTACGATGGAGGGGCTCATAGCATTAGCATCCAAAGAGGGTCTTGCTTCTCCCATAGCCACAAACTGGTATACCCAGACATAGATCAGGCTGTGTCTCCCACATGGCTTATTTGGTTCTAGCTTCTGGCTCACACACCTCAGCCCAGGCTTTTGCCTTTCTAACCACCTCTGGCACAGAGCCACTTCCTTTGTTACCTTAATGACCCATACTTTGAGGGCCATTACATACCAAGAAACTTGACAGCAATTCAATCCTTGTTGGATCCAGGAATTAAGGGACTCAGGCATACAACCCACCCTCCCACAAACTCACATTTTGGTCGTTTGAGCTGTCCAGGGTTGCTTTTGCTATCTGTCAGAACATCAGATTTACGCAACCAAAGGAAATTTTAAGCCCTATCTTTTCTAAATTGTATGGCAACCTTATTTTGTTATATGCATCAAGAAGATCATGTTTATAATCCCCTTCAATCTCGTGGTAATATGTGGAAAGTTGCTTTTTTTTTTTTGAGTGAAGAATTTGATTTGATTTTCAAGCAACATACTGTAGCGATGTGTTGTGAATAACGTTTTATATATATCTGCAGAGACAAACAACAGACTGTAGATATTTCATCACATCCCTCCTGGCTGCTGTAGGAAAAGGGACGCTGGACTATATGGTCTACTCTGGTTAGGTAGTTCTGAAGTAACATAACACTGCTTAAAGCATTGCAGCGCTACAGAGGCAAAGTAGTGATGGTTGTGCGAACAGAAAATGGTCAAATGGCAGATGAAGATGACAACAAAGCCACATACACAACAGGCAACAGCTGTTTATCTCTCTTCATTCACTGTCCCAGACTTCTTGGGATCCTCCTGATTAACCTCCCTGGTCCTTTTCTCGACAGGAACCCACATTTATGCAATTAAGTGTCTCATTAATTTTCCAGACACCTGCAGTTATTTACTCCAGGCACCACTAGACCTTGAGTTTTTTATGCCCCCCTGGGAAACATCCCTCTCTCTGCTTTGGCATCAAGACTCAGAAAGGATGATCTGTATGTATGCTGCAACGTCCCTGACCAATAACATTTCCCCTAGAAGATGGAGCAATCTTGTTTTCTGCTCCTCTGGAGGGGAGGACCTGTACCCATGGATTCAAATGATAAAAATGGAAATTCCGAGTAAACATTAGGAAGAACTTTTTTGATGGTAAGATTTCTTCTGGTGGGAAGAGCTGTTCAACCTTGTAATGGACTACCTTGGAAGGTGGTGCGCTCCTCTTCACTGGTTTTTAAGCAGAGGTTGGATTGGCATCTGCCAGTGATTCTCTGGGTGTGATTCCTGCATTGCAGGGGGCTGGACGAGATGATTCTCTGGGAATCCCATCCAATGCTACAGTTCTATGAGTTTATGAATTCATCCTTCCCCAAACAAGTCACGAACCAAAATATAGCCGTCCTTCAAAAATTTACCCTTCCCCATGTTTTGCAATGCAATTCTCTGGCTATGTTATGTGCCCGCCCTCCCCAGGTGCATATATATATATATATATCAAAATCCACACAGTGAAAATAACATATGCAAATATTAAGGTAAATTACTTGCAAAAAATTGCACATTAGGTGTATGCATGAACAGGCAGCTGATTTTTTGCGAAGACGTTTTTTAATGCAAGTTGATGTGGAAATGTGCAAACTGGAAAAATTAGGGAGGAGAACTGAAATTGAAAGGGCTATCCATCTACAGAGTAGCATAAGGAAGACGTTTACCTGGTCAGAGGAATTTCTCGTACAATTTTTTTAAACAGATAAATATCTACATAGAATAATAGAATTGCAGAGTACTGGCAAGCCAGGTGTCCCCCTATCTTAGTTTTGTCTGGCTGGTTCTTCCTGTCTAAGGGCAGAACCTGACATTTGTCCCTATTAAAATTCATTTTGCTAGTTTGGGCCCAGTTCTCCAATCTGTTAGGATCATCTTGAATCCCGATTGTGTCTTCAGTGGCATGGGATACCCCTGGCACAACAAGCTGGCACTAACCCCACCCTGGCTAGCTCAGCCCAGCTTTGACTTCACCATTCCAGCTAGGTGATCCAATTCAGCTGCAGGTGTTGCCAGGAACTGCTGAATCAGGGCTTCAGTCCTGTAAGGAGGCATTTAGTTTCATGGATGTCTGTATTATTATTATTTTTAATTAATGGTGTAATTTTTATGTTCTAAACATTGTACATTGTCTCATTGTTGTGGGATAACCAGCCTCATATAACCAACATAGGTAAAGGTAAAGGGACCCCTGACCATTAGGTCCAGTCGTGGCCGACTCTGGGGTTGCGACGCTCATCTCGCTTTATTGGCCAAGGGAGCCGGCATACAGCTTCCGGGTCATGTGGCCAGCATGACGAAGCCGCTTCTGGCGAACCAGAGCAGCGCACGGAAACACCGTTTACCTTCCCGCCAGAGCGGTACCTATATATCTACTTGCACTTTGACATGCTTTTGACCTGCTAGGTTGGCAGGAGCAGGGACTGAGCAACAGGAGCTCACCCCGTTGCGGGGATTCGAACCGCTGACCTTCTGATCAGCAAGTCCTAGGCTCTGTGGTTTAACCCACAGTGCCATCCGCGTCCCATAACCAACATACTTAAGTCTAATTAATGCATAAATTGGTTAATACCACAGAGTAAGCTGTCCTGCCAGGCTTAGCTATGTCACTTCCTTTACCTTGGGAACAAACAGGTAAGCAGTCCTATTGTCCCCCACCCCCAGTCTACCTGAGAAACCCAGCTGATTTAAGCTGATTGCTCTAGCTCAACCACATGGCTCTCACCAGCCACTCTTGTGTTCTGACCTATACCAATAAATTAAGAATGTTTACCACTTTGTAACAAAGCTAAGTTTTCCAGTTCCTGCAACTTTTCTGACAGGTGTATGCAGTGCTATTCTTATAGAAAAAGAGGTGCCGGAATTCACCATGAACACCTCCCTCATTCTCTTAAGAGTGGCAATGGCGCCTGAGAGGTGCCAGAACTGAGCACTTTCATCAAATTAAAATAAAGAATTCTAACGGTTGGAACACCCCTTAGCCATTTCTTGGAATCTTTCTTAGTTGCAAACAATTGAAATGTGCCTTTTGTTTTGCTTTCAGTTTTTAATGATAATCTCTTCTCCCCCCCCCCCACCCTTTTTATTTTTTACCATCAACCAAAACACAAACAGTGAAACCTCCCAGGCAGCTGATACATTGGGTACACATAATCAATAATAACATATTCAAATCAACCATATATACAATTTTATATATTTTAACACTCCTCCATCCACAAGGTTTATTTAACTTTTAACATTTTAATTGCCCCAAATTGTTCAAACCTACCCAAATAATTCAGTATCTTCTCAAATCAATCCTCCTCTTTCTCACTGACCTTAAACCCTTTCATTCTGTGGATCTTCACAGTTATTCTAAAATTATAATATTATTCAGTTTTCTTCCTCCATTGGTTCACCCCTAGCTCTTCTGCATTTTTCCAATTACTCGCTATAACCTGTCTGGCTGCAGTTACCATCAATTTTACCCATTTACATTCCTCTTTTGTTTTTAACTCGGTGCTACTCAGACGAATAAGAACCATTAATTTAGATATTCCCACCTTCCTACCCACAATTCCCGATATTTCTATACCAATCTGTTCCCAAAATTCATTAACTAACGGACAATTCCACCACATATGACTGTACGTTCCCATCACTCCACATTTCCTCCAACAATTCTTACTTCCAGATTTTGTAATATGATATAACCTTACAGGTGTATAATACCATTTTTGTACCAACTTCAACCCCTGTTCCTGGATTATCCTAGAGGTCGCAACAAAGGGTGGTTGCCGAAAGATTCTTTCCTATTCTTCATCTAAAATCTGTTCCTGAATTTCTAACTTCCAATATTCTTTCAAACTTTTCTTTGGTGATTTCTCCTTGTCTAATAACACCTTATACAATTTTGAAACTATTTTGGCCCTATCTGTCTTATATCCTTTCACTAATTGTCCGAAGGGTGTAATAATTCTTCTACCACATTTAACTTCTTCTTTCACTCCAGATTCAAATTTCAACCAGCGTACGTATCACCACAGTCATGATTTATAACAGTCTCAAAAGTAATTAGAGAAAGGAAGGCTTTGTCGCTTTGAATAAACATTCACAAACTTTTTATTGATAATAATCAGCTAAATAGTTTGACGATCTATACAACTGTGTAACATGTAGAAAACAGCATTTTTAGAGAAAGACTGGAACTGAGGGAAGTCGGGGGTGGGGTGGGTGGTTTCTGTGGGGGGAGGGGGGAGGGAGGAAAAATGGGGGGGGGGAATAAGGATGATATGTTTCTGGATAATGTTTTCTTTTAATTCTGAATAAAAAGGTTAGTTAAAAAAAGAGAGAGAAAGGAAGGAAGGCTTTGTTGACCATATACCCTAAGGGCTGATATTAAGTAATATTATGTTTGGGCAAGAGGAAGGTTCCTTGGCTCTATGTCACTTGCCCCCATTGGGTTCCCCGAAGCTTCTTGGTCTCCCAGCATGGAAAGCTACCTTTTCAGAGCATCAGAGCTTGATCTCTTGTTCCCTCTGCTTTTCCAGAGCAAATATGATCGCCAAGATTTAAGGCTTGGATATCATTAATCATGACATAATTATCTCTGTCAACAAGCTGTTGACAGGTGTCTAGTCCGCCATCTTTCTTTCCAAATGTCTGTAAGGAACTTTGAATGGGGAAATATTGGAACTCACTTAGAAGGGCATATTGTAAAGCCCTAACAGTTTATAATTCCAAGCTTCACTTTGCTGCATATCTTGACTCTTTCAATCTTTGCTGGGGTTCTCTCACCAAAAATCACTTGCCCCTTGGCACCCGGGAATTCACACACACACACACACACACACACACCAACAGCTATTTCATAACGTGGCGCTGTAGAATAATATAGCACTACAGAAATACTTTAATATAAAATGAGTTGTCTGAGAAATAAATGAAAATGGCTAGTCTTATTCAGGTAAGAGTGTGCAAACAGAACTGATTGCTTTGAGGAAAATAAAAATGACCTTTTTCTTTATACCATAAAGCCCAAGAACACTTAACTCCATATACTTTGATGGGAATACTTTGTTATTTATTTTATTTAGTCAGTTTCATTTTTAAAAACTTTTCTTTATTTTTCTTATGGATATGATTGTCTGTTTAGTTTTTGTTTGTTTCTGAATGATTGAAAGATCCAGCAAAACACAATTAATAAATAAATAAAACAAGCATGCAGCGTTCTGCATTTATAATATTTCTGGCCTATCAGGAATGCACATACCCTTTGGAAATCATACAAATGCAAATTGTTGTTAATAAAAAACATTAGTAATAATAACTGGTAATAATATTATCAATCAGTTTGTAAGTTTTTAGGAGAAAAATATACGTGCTGTGTTCTGCATTTACAATATGTATGATCGAGCCAGGAATGCTGACTCCTTTGGACATGATTCAAATGCAAACCAGTAATAATAATATCAGTAATAATAGTACTATTAACAATATTTTCTACCAGCCTTACGTCTTCAGGAATCAATATATATTAGGTGTTTTGGATTTAATATATCCCCGGCCAGCCAGGAATATGCCAGATACCTTTGGAAAGGATTCAAATGCAAATCCGTGACGATAATTAAGTCAGGAATAATAACAGCACTACTACTACAAATTATTGCCGGTTTGGTAAGTCTTTAGGAAGCAAAAACGAGAAAGTCTGAAAGAGAAGAGCTGTATCACGCCCCTCGCGCCTTTTCCTAGTCTAAAAAAGCAAAATGAGGCGGGAGAGATGTATTTGCATGGAGGAAGACCCGGGCGGCAGACTTTCTCCTCTTGGAAATGCCTGCCCCCCTGGACACCCCCTCCTCAAAAAAGAAATAATGGGGAAACACATTTTTGCACCTCCCCCCACCCATGTTTCTCCTGTGTTTGTGTGTACACATACAGACGCATGTGAAACCTTCGCAAGCTTGATCCTCCTCCGCTTTCTGGTCCATACCGGTGGGGGGGGGGGAGAGAAAAAAGGAGGGCGCAAAGAAAGAAAGGAGCCTGTGCTCCAGGCTGGGATTTGTAGTCTTGGCCGGGGCGGAGCACCTTTCCCAAGCTGGTCCAGCAAACTACGTTACCCAGCGGCCCCCGCGGCGGGGACGCATGAGCAGAGCGCCTGGCTAGCTCTGAAAAGACTCTCTCTCTGTAGCTCGTAGCACATCAATTCTTTACTTGCTTTGGAGAGAACTAGAAAAAAAAGGTGGTGGTAGTGGAAGGAGGGGGGAATCAGTCGAGCCCTATCGGCAGCAGCCGCCAGAGGAGGTGGTGGTGGTGGAGGAGGAGGAGGAGGAGAAGGAAGAAAAAGCCCGGCCGGCCCGAGTAAGCAAGCTAGACGCGCTTCGGGGGGGGGGGGGGGCTTCTTTGGTTTGGTGGTGGTGGAGAAGGAGAAGAAGAAGAAGAAGAGAGCAGGCCGCGGAGGGCGGAGGCAAAATCGCGCACACAAAGGCTCCTTTCCCTTCTCCAAGCGCGCCGCTCCGGCGTTTCCTTTTTGCGCTTCCTCTGCTGGCAACAGTGTAACAAAAGGGCGAGCGCGCGGCTGCCCTGCCGCAGACGCAAGGAGGGCTCCGTGCGCCCTCGTTCTGCGCCGGACTCCCTCCCTCCTTGCCCGCCATCTTTCGAAGCGGGGAGAAGGGCGAGCGATCCCGCTTTCCTCCGGCCCGCGCTCGCACAAAGGAACGGCGGGCGGGGAGAAGCTCGCCTCTCCACCAGCCCAGGCCCCCCGTGCGCCCGCCGCTTGCCTTGCTGCCGCTGCTGCGCGCCTGGCTCCGCTCGGCTGGAAGCAGCGCCGCTTCCTCGTCCAGGCGGCTTCAGCGAGCGCCTTGGTTTGTCTCCTGTCGCGTCGCGCTCTGTTTCCTCGTTTTTCTCTCGGGGTGTGTTGTGTTTTTTTTAATTTTCCTGTGTGGTAGTCACTTTAGAAAACTCAGAAAAGATTGCGGGGGGGGGGGGACTTTTCTCTTCTTCCTTAAAAACCCTGTTGCATATGGAGATCTCTTTTAGGGGCGATTGCAGTTGGTTGTTTGGTTGATTGGTTTGTTTATTGCATGTATATCCCATCTCTCTTCCAGGGAGCTCATGGTGGCTTACATACCCGTGACCCCATCTCCAAATTTTATCCCCAGCAGCAAACCTGTGAGATAGGTTGGGTTGAGAGTGGTTGGCCCCAAGGTCATGCCCACCCGGTGAGCATTATGGCTGAGTGGGGAATTTGAACCCTGGTTTTCACATGCCCGAACCCAACACTCTAACCACTATGCCAGACTGGCTCTTAATGTGGCTCCATTACTCCCCATCACCAGCTTAGGCTCTGCACTCTCAATTCCGCAGTCAAAAGGTCCAAGGACCCGATTTTGATCCCTGGAGTTAACTGGTGTGTCTATCTGATGTGTGTTGTACCTGCTGATTTAGACCTGTTTGCCTGGAAGGTAATCAGCTGATTTTATTGGGACCCCCAATCCTAACTATGTCTATATTATGGAAGTCTGTTCTCTTGCCTTCAGTGTGGCTTATTCCAATGGAATTGTGGTTAGGATTGCAGGCCAACTCCTTAAAAAAAGAGACATGGACAGGGATGCTGCCTCAAGCACTCTGTCCATGTTCTGGGGCAGCATCAAGGAGACTTAAGACTTGTTGGATTTACTTGGTTGTTGTTTATAATTGTTTCCAAAACAAGAATTTCAAACTGAGGAGCAGGCCGCTTTTGAATATATTCAGATCCCAAGGATTTGTTTTCTGTACCAGAACTGAACTAATTTTGCAATCCTTTTGCATAAAAAAATTCACTCCTGGCTCTTCATTTCATTTCAGTAGCCTTTTTTTGAGGGGGGGGGGAATCCTTGTTTTGTTGCTATTGTAAAATAACTAGGAGTTGGAAACTCCTTGGTCTACTGAAGATTGCATGGATATCTAACAGTAGATCCCAATTAACTTTGGATCCTGTGGCTCAGTGCGTATATCACCTGCTTTGCATGCAGAAATTCTCAGCTTCAATCTCTCATGGCATCTTCAGGTAGAGCTGGGAGAGCCTCCCTGTCTGAAACTCTGGAGTCACTGCCAGTCAGTGTACTGAGCTAGACTATCCCTTTATTAGAACCAGGAGGTCTGGAACCTTATTTTATTTTGGGGGGAAGGCTGCACCTGCTTTGCATGCACAGAATAATAGAATTGCAGAGTTGGAAGTCCCAGGTCAGGCTGGGAAATCCCCCTATCCCTACCTGGAGAGCCTATGCCAGTTAGTGTAGAAAATACTAAGCTAAATGGGACCATACTAAGGTATTCCTGTTTAATTTTGCCCTTTATGCAGAACCACAAGGACTAAACATTTTTAAGAAAAGGGCCATGGTTCAGTGGTAGAGCATCTGTCTTGCACATAGACGATTCCAGGTGCAGTCCCCCACAGCTTCTCCAGGAAGAGCTGGGAGAGTCTCACTGTCTGTAACCCTGGATAACTGCTGCCAGTCACTGGGCATTATTGAGCTAGATGGACCAATGACTTGACTCTGTGTATAAAGCAGCTTTCATATTTCCCTCCCTCTGCTCACTCCAGCTGCATTCAACTTTTTCAGACCCACAACCCACTATGAACACAATTCTGCACTGAGGGACCCATTTCTTAGTTTATTTCCCATGTATCATTGTGGTGGTAGTGCTGCTGTTGCAAGCCACCATTGATCAAGTTGCAAGGTGGAAGTTGCCCATGACCTGCCAGTTGAAGCCTGATGCCCTAGAGCAGTGTTGTTTTGTTTTGTTTTGTTTTAAACACATATTGTTCCAGAGTTTAGGTATGGCAAATGTTGAGTCCTCTTCCTTGGATAAGGAGAGCCCGCCTGACGCACTTGTAGCATTCTTGTGGAAGCCTGGTTGTGATATCTAGTTCCAGTTCAAGGCCAATAAGATTGTGTTGCCGGTTACATTGATATCATAGAATCATAGAATCATAGAGTTGGAAGAGACCACAAGGGCCATCGAGTCCAACCCCCTGCCAAGCAGGAAACACCATCAGAGCACTCCTGACATATGGTTGTCAAGCCTCTGCTTAAAGACCTCCAAAGAAGGAGACTCCACCACACTCCTTGGCAGCAAATTCCACTGTCGAACAGCTCTCACTGTCAGGAAGTTCTTCCTAATGTTTAGGTGGAATCTTCTTTCTTGTAGTTTGGATCCATTGCTCCGTGTCCACTTCTCTGGAGCAGCAGAAAACGACCTTTCTCCCTCCTCTATGTGACATCCTTTTATATATTTGAACATTGCTATCATATCACCCCTTAACCTCCTCTTCTCCAGGCTAAACATGCCCAGCTCCCTTAGCCGTTCCTCATAAGGCATCGTTTCCAGGCCTTTGACCATTTTGGTTGCCCTCCTCTGGACACGTTCCAGTTTGTCAGTGTCCTTCTTGAACTGTGGTGTCCAGAACTGGACACAGTACTCCAGGTGAGGTCTGACCAGAGCAGAATACAGTGGCACTATTACTTCTCTTGATCTAGATGCTATACTCCTATTGATGAGGCCCAGAATTGCATTGGCTTTTTTAGCTGCCGCGTCACACTGTTGGCTCATGTCAAGTTTGTGGTCAACCAAGACTCCTAAATCCTTTTCACATGTACACATCTCATTGGGGTGTCATCTCTGCCCAGAGTCTCTGTTGCCTTAAACTGAATGGTTGTGCTTATTAGTTGTGTGACCCATTGCTGGAAACCATAGGAGGGGAAAGTGCTCTTGTGCTTGGGTCCCGCTTGCAGGCTTTGCATTGGGGCATCTGGTTGCCCTCTGTGAGAACAGAATGCTGGACTAGGTGGGCCCCCTTTGGCATGATCCAGCAAGTTCTTATGTTCTTCCTTATTCCTGGAGGCAGGATGCCTCTGGTTGTCACTTGCTGGGAATCACAAGTGAGGAGAGTTGCTCTTGCGCTAGGGTCCTGCTTATGTGCTTCCAGATCTGGTTGGCCACTCTGAGAAGAGGATGCTGGACTTTGATGTGCCCCCTTTGGCCTGGAGGCTTGTGTGATAGACTGTCTTGGGCATGCAGGTTCTGTTGTCTCTGTATGCAAGGTGATGGGGAACAGCGGCTGGAAAGTGCCATTGTATTTATGTCCTGCTCATGAGCATCCCATTTTGGGAATCTGGTTGGCCACAGTGGAAACAGGGTGCTTAACGAGATTAGCCCCTTCAGCCTGATCCAGTAGGCTCTTCTTAAGTTCTTACGTTCACCTTTGCATCTAAGCAAGTGTGTTTAGGATTGCAGGCTTATTGGGGGTGAGAATCCCCTGCAGAAATCCATTAATGACAAATTCAACAACTGTGTGTCAGAATTTGGGGTTTGTGAGAGGGGGAGATGGTGGTCATGATGAGGGGGTATGGAGACAGTGGTCAGTAATACTAGGAACAGTTCATTATCCTTAAAATCATAGAATTGTAGAGTTGGAAGGGATTGTAAGGGCCATCTAGTCCAACCACCTGCAATGTGGGGCTTGAAATCAGAACCTTGAGATTAATAATCTCATGCTCTACTTACTGAGCTATCCCTTCCAAGCCAAGCTTATAGCACCTAGTATTCCTGGTATTCCATCCAAGAACAACCAGTCCTGACCCTGCTTAGCTTCGGAGATCAGATGAGATTGGGTGTGTTCAGGGTGGTATCCGTATATATGTCAGTGGGGGACCTCTTTTGCATATCCCAACCAGTGTTCAAAATCAGCCAGGCGCCAGGCGCATTTTGCACCTAACTATTTCCCACTTGTGACCAAGTGAGGTTGCCTGGATGCCAGGAAGGTGCTTGATATCTCCACCATCTGGAGGTGCATTTCTGAGTATCATTGGATCTTGACTGTTTTCACACATTAATACTACATCCTGTGGAATTCTATCAGTTACATTTTATCTGCACAATCAGAATAAATTTCAGGAACCAAAATGCTTTTTCTGTGCATCCTAAGCAGGAGCAGTGAACAATTATAGCTAATTGTTGAAGCTTGTCTTCACTTACCCCATTCCACTGCCCTGCTCACAGTTGTGAAAAATATTCATATGTTATGAATGGACTGTGTCATCATTAAGAAAAAGAGCTAGGAATGGGCCAGTATATATGTGAAGTGTCCCTGGATAATGTGACTTTCCTTTAAGTTCTCAAAGTTCTTAACCTAGCTCAGGGTTGTCATCTGAACTAGCCAGATGTTTAACTGATAATCAAATATGTTAGTGCATCATTTGAAAAGTAAGACTTTAGAGTCATCTTGCCCAAAAATGACAACTAGACATTCTGTCTTGGCGACTGAAGCTTTGGTTTAAGGAGACATTTTGCTGCTACCTTATACATCTGAGTTTCTAACACTGCAACCAGGCACTGGGAAACAAACTGCCAGAAGGAGTCATTCCTAAAAGAAGTACAGTACCAGTTCCTGGGTACCGCAGGAGGGGAGAGTACTCTTGTGCTCAAATCCCATTTGTGGGTTTCCCATAATGAGCATCTGGTTGGCTACTGTGAGGACAGGATGCTGGACTAAGATGGACCATTGTTTTGATTCAGCAGGCTCTTCTTATGCTCTTAAGCAGGTTGAAACTTTGTGTTGGGTCTAAATCAGCCTTTCCCAAGCTGTCACCTTCCAGATGTTTGGGACCACAATTGCCATCAGCCCCAGCCTGTACAGCTCTTTAATGCTGGGGCTGATGGAAGCATGGCTGTTCCAGTTGAGGACTGATGGGGATTGTCAGGGAGGGCACTGATTGAACATAAAAAAAGAGAGCCTTATTGAATCAGGCCAATCGCCATCTAGTCTAATATGCGTTTTGCAGTAAGGTGACCAGAATTGCTCACAATTCCTGGGCTAAGTTAGCTGAGTTTAAGCTGCCATCAAGGGTTTAAATTAAGTCACTGCTAGCTTGCTTTTGACCACTTCAGCCTTGTCTATTTCAGTGGGATCTGAGTTCTACTCACTTAGTCTGAATCCAAGACATTGTGCACTTCCAAGGGTGTTGTGTTCATTGAAATACAGTTATGGACTCTGCTAGTATAGGTTTTTGGTGTTCACTGGGAAGCTTATTTCGCTGATTGATGGTTCCCCAAGACTTGTACCCAAATAAGGCTACAGTTCTATGCTCACATAGAATTAAGTTCCATTTAACTTAGAGGCATGTACTTGCAAGTAAATATGCACTGTGCCAGGCTCTTGGTGGACAGGTGGCCTCAGCTTCCCCTGACACCTTCCTGCCTTCCTCCTTTCAAAGAGAACAAATTCACAGAGGATATCAAGGGGTACCATTGCTAGCCATGATGGCCAGGCTCTGACTCCATGATTAGAGGCAGTAATGCTTCTGAATACTTGTTTATGGAAACTGCAGAATGGGAGAGTGCTATTGTACTCTGGTCCTGATTGAGGGTTTAGGGCATCTGGTTGACCACTGTGAGGACAGGATGCTGGAGGAGATGGGTAACTTTTGGCTAGATCTAGCAAACTCTGCTTAGGTTCTTAGAACATAATAAGAGCCTGGCTGCTGGATTGGACCAAAAGCTCAATAATAATAATAATAATAATAATAATAAATTATGAATCCCCTTTTACATGCATTTCAAGGCAATTTGCAAACACACCATAAAAACCATAAAGAGCTAGTTTTAAAAACGGCACTAAAGAAAACCCAACTAAAGACGTTGGGGGAGCAATCACAAATAGCAGCTACCGAGTTTGCAAAGCCAGGGCCAGTCTTCCCAAGTCCTTAGCACATGCAAGAGCACAAGACCAACCAGATGGTTCTGGGGGATGTGAGCTCAAGAGTTTCTTGGCCAAGTGGGGATTTGAACCCTGCTGCTGGCATTCGCTGGTACTTTGTTTATGTGAGATGCTTTGGGTGAAGGGTAGCTTATGATAAATACTTTTAATTACAACATAATGTTAGTCATACTTGGAGTAGACACACAAAAATTGATGGCCACGAGTAACTTGTTTCCATTAACTTCAGTGGGCTCTACTCTGAGTAGAATTTACTTGGGCACCACCCAAATACAGTGGTGCCTCGCAAGACGAAATTAAGTCGTTCCGCGAATTTTTTCGTCTAGCGAATTTTTCGTCTTGCGAAGCACGAAATCCCATAGGAATGCATTGAAAATCAATTAATGCATTCCTATGGTCAAAAAAAGTCCAAACAAAGCCAAATTTGGTACAACAAGAGTTTATTAAGTGCTCTTTAAAGTCACACATACTGTAAAGAGCATTTCAAAATTCAAACCCAGAATTTTTTTTAAAAAACAGCAGAGTTGCCCAATGGTCTCAGAAAATCATAAAAATGCAGGGGGAAAAACAAGCTTCCAGATTCTTGCAAACCCCTCCCCAACTGTTCCCCCAGCCACCCAGCACACAGAAATTCGAATCCAGAATTTTTTTTAAAAAAACAGCAGAGTGCCCCAATGGTCACAGAAAATCATAAAAATGCAGAAAAAACACACACAAGCTTCCAGATTCTTGCAAACCCCTCCCCAACACCAAGTCCTTGAATTCCAAACACCCCAACCCGAAATCCAACCCCCCCAAAAAAAAGTTTTAAAAGCTTAACTTACAACATGGCTGCAAAAGAAGTTTTGGAAAAGCTTCAAAAATCACCAAAGTCTTTAAAAACCTCAAAAAAGGCTACTATGTACACTGCGTTCTATGAGTTGTTCCTCGAAGTCAAGTCGCAACTGTATTAATGGTGTTAAGACAAAGGAAACAAACTTGCAAGACGTTTTCGTCTTGCGAAGCAAGCCCATAGGGAAATTCGTCTTGCGAAGCAGCTCAAAAAACGGAAAACCCTTTCGTCTAGCGAGTTTTCCGTCTTGCGAGGCATTCGTCTTGCGGGGCACCACTGTAAATCCAATTTGATCTACACTTATGATTTAGATGTGATCTTATTTGGGCTGCTCACCATTACAGATTCAACATTTTATAGTTGGTTTTCAAATAAGTAATTGGTTGATATGATTGAGCACATCTCTCTCTCCCCATTGCCTTATTTCACATAAGCTCTCTCAATTGCTTTGATTTCTGGAACTGGCACTGTTAAAGATGCCATGTAATACCCATTCCATGTCATTAAGAAATTCATCTTCTAGTGTGATGGCACCTACATTTTGGAACTCCCTGCCTAATGACAGGTGCCCTCACTACACTTTTTGGTGCCTGCTCAAAACAGTTCTGTATAGATAAGCCTACACAGGTATCTAGAAGGCTAGTGAATTTTTAGGTTGTTGCTGGTTTTATTACTATTGTTATTGCATGCTTTAAGTTTTTTAAAGTGTTTTAGTATTTTTGCAAACTGCTTTGAGGTTTTTTAAACAAGTAAGCAGTACAGTATATAAAATTGTATGAAATAATAAAACATTGTTGGCATGTTCTTACTTTTAGCTGTTAGTAGTCTAGGAGTTATATTGGCGTGTTCTGAGTCTGAGCCATGTTAATGTCTTGCCCAATATATATATCCACCTAGCTTTCTTTCAGTGTTGTGAATTTGTGCTGGCTGTGCTCAGTATGTGTTTCAGGATGGTAAGAAAAACGTAGTAGATTGGATTCTTTCTCTAGACTTGGGTGGTTAGAACACATTTTTTAAAACCTCTTTGTAGTGTAGTAAATACAGAAGGTTGATGCAGTGTTAGAAGCTCAGATATATAAGCTAGGCACCAATATAGCTTCTTAAACCAATGTAATAGTCACCAAAACGGAATGCCTAGTTGTGATTTTTGGGCCAGATGGATCGAAAATCCTATTCTTCTTTTTTTTTTTTTTTTAAATAAATTTTTATTAATTTTCCAAACACAAAATAAAAAGACAAACAATACACAATACACCGACATACAAACATATAAACATATATAATTTCATAACCATTTTTTTCATAAACCTTGCTTTCCGGACTTCCCCATACCTCCCCTTTTCTGCATCCTTGTTTTATATTTTTCAGCAACTCCTCAGTCAACTAATTATTCAATTCATTTTCTTTTAAATTCTTCTAATATTGTTAATTACAGCTGCAATTCTCTGTTTCCCTACCCCTTGACATTTTAACATTCCTGAATTTTACAACAAGTTCTAAGATAAACTTTGAATTTCTTCCAATCTTCTTCCACTGTCTCTTTCCCCTGGTCACGGATTCTGCCAGTCAACTCCGCCAGTCCCATGTAGTCGATCACCTTCGTCTGCCATTCTTCCAGTGTGGGTAGTTGTTGTGTCTTCCAATACTTTGCTAGAAGAATCCTTGCTGCTGTGGTCGCATACATAAAAACGTCCTGTCCTTCCTTCTCACCAATTGGCCGACAATGCCCAGGAGAAAAGCCTCAGGTTTTTTAAGGAAGGTCCATTTAAGAACCTTCTTAATTTCATTATAGATCATTTCCCAAAAAGCTTTTATCCTCGGGCAGGTCCACCAAAGGTGATAAAAAGTACCTTCAGTCTCGTTACATTTCCAACATTTGTTATTGGGCAGATGATAAATTTTTGCAAGCTTGACTGGGGTCATGTACCACCTGTACATCATTTTCATAATGTTTTCTCTTAAGGCATTACATGCCGTAAATTTAGTACCTGTGGTCCAGAGCTGTTCCCAGTCAGCAAACATAATGTTATGACCAATGTCTTGTGCCCATTTTATCATAGCTGATTTCACCATTTCATCTTGTGTGTTCCATTTCAACAGCAGATTATACATTCTCGACAGATTCTTAGTATTGGGTTCTAACAGTTCTGTTTCTAATTTTGACCTCTCCATCTGGAAACCTATTTTCCTGTCCTGTTTAAATGTCTCGTTTATCTGAAGGTAGTGCAACCAATCTCGCACTTTGGACTTTAATTTCTCATAACTCTGTAATTTAACTTTTTCCCCATCTTGTTCTAAAATTTCACAATATTTTGGCCATTTAGACTCCATATTAAGTTTTTTCACCTCTTTAGCTTCCATTGGTGACAGCCACCTGGGAGTTTTACTTTCCAGTAAATCTTTATACCGCATCCAAACATTATATAATGCTTTCCTAACAATATGGTTTTTGAAACCTTTATGCAGTTTTACCTTATCATACCATATATATGCATGCCAGCCAAATCTATTGTCAAACCCTTCTAGATCCAAAATGTCTGTATTCTCAAGAAGTAGCCAGTGTTTCAACCAGCAGAAAGCCGCCGATTCATAGTAGAGTCTTAAGTCCGGCAGGGCAAACCCCCCTCTATCTTTTACATCAGTTAGAATCTTAAATTTTATTCTGGGCTTTTTGCCCTGCCAGACAAATTTAGATATATCTTTCTGCCACTTCTTGAAACAGTCCATCTTGTCCAAAATCTGCAATGTCTGGAATAAAAACAACATTCTAGGCAATACATTCATCTTGATAACAGCAATTCGACCTAACAAAGAGAGTTTCAACCTTGACCATATTTCTAGATCTTTCTTTACCTCTGTCCCGAAAATCCTATTCTTCAATAGAACGTTTTAGCTCCTGAAATTCATTCTAGTTGTGCAGAAAAAAGATGGATAGAATTTTACAGGATGTGTTGCTAGTGTGTGAAAACAGTCAAGATCCAATAATCCCCAGGCATGCACCTCCAGATGGTAGATGCACCAGGTGTCATCCTGGCACTCAGGCATCTTCACTTGGTCACAAGTGGCCGAAAGCAAGGTGCAAAATGCTCCTGGCAACTTTTGAATGCTGGGTTGATGTCTGATTTTACAGAAGTCACAGAGGAGCTCATTCCCCACTCTTTTTCCTGCCACTGCATCATCATTGTAAGGAGTCAAGATGTAATTCCAGTCTCTGAGCAAAGCAAATTTCCTCCTAGTCCTTCTCCAAAAATAGGCTCTTGTGCCATCAGTTGCTATGAACAAGGCCAGTTCTAAGGATTGCCCCATAAATGTGATTGCCCTGCCAGTTGTGCACTTGTATGTACAAAAGACCTGGGGTGGTGTGGCTTAGGGTGCAGCCTTGGGCTGGCCCTGGCTTTGCAGGCTTAGTAGTCAGCTGCTATTTGTGATTGCCCCGCAAGCTTCTCCCTTGTATGCAAGAAAGGACTCGTGGTGGGGAACCATCCTCCTTCTCCTCCTCCTCCTCCTCCTTCCATGTCATAGAACTGGAGGGCCTAATGAGATTTGGCTCCTTGTGATCAAAAGATCGAGCCCTCCACGATGTGTCTTCCCTCCGCCCTTTTCTAGAAATCATCGACTGATGTTTTGCTGTCCTCTCCCTGCTCTCCAGGCTGCATGGCTGGTCCCTGGGAATGGGATGCCCATCCCATCCAGGGATCGTAGAAAGACAACGATTCCTTCCCGAGGACCTGCTGCTGCTGCCTTGAACGCCAGCAAGTCGAGGAGGAGGCAGGAGAAAGATGTCTGCTGCCACCTCAGCCATCCAGGCTCCCCAAGGCCCTGCGAACCCACCTCCCCCAGAGGTCACCAACTCAGCCAAGCCTGGGCGGAAGACCAACCAACTTCAGTACATGCAGAATGTGGTGGTGAAGACTCTGTGGAAACACCAGTTCGCCTGGCCTTTCTACCAACCTGTTGATGCAATTAAATTGAATTTACCAGTGAGTAATGTTTCTTATTTCTGAGGTGTTCCCCCACTTATTTAAAGGCTACCAGTCTGTTGATGCAATTAAATTGAATTTACTAGTGAGTAATGTTTCTTATTTCTGAGGTGTTTCCCCACTTATTCAAAGGCTCCGACAAGGCGTCATCTGTTGTCATGAGGAACCATAGAACCCACTGCAATGCAGAAATCACAGCTATAGAATTCCCAAAGGATGGCCTTCCAACCTCTGTTTAAAAACCTCCAAGAAGCGAGAGTCCACCGTCTTCCAAGTTCCATTGCCAAGCAGTTACCGACAGAACGTTCTTCATACTGTTTAGTCAGAATCTCCTTTCTTGTCATTTGAATCCTTTGGTTCAGGTCCTCTCCTCCCAGAGCAGCAGAGAAGAAGCTTGCTCCGTGTTTCATGGGACAGCTCCTGGAGTTTCGGAGCAAGGTGTCACCAGTACGCTGATGACACACGCAGCTCTACTTCTCCCTGACATCTGAATCAGGAGAGAATGTGAAAGCTTTGGACCTGTGTCTGGATGCAGTAGTGGACTGGATGAGAGCCAGTAAACTGTGTTAGATTCCTGAGAAGACAGAGGCTCTTAAGGTGGGTGGGTCCCATGTCTGGAGATAGGGCAACCCCACCGAGAACAGGTAACTTACCTATCTCTGAAGGAGCAAGTGCGTAGTTTGGGGGTACTCCTAGGTACATCGTTTTTACTAGAGGCCCAGGTGTCCTCTGTGGCTAGGAGTGCCTTCTACCAGCTTCATCTGGTTTGCTAATCACAGCCATTCCTGGACACTTGGACAGAGATACCCTTGTAGTCCATGCATAATCTTGAGCCTGGATCGCTGTAATGTACTCTGTGTGGAGCGGCCTTGGGCCTGGTTTGGAAGCTCCACCTGGTGAAGAATGCAGCATCCAGATTACTAAGGAGAGAGTCTGGTTGAGAACATGGGACACCCTGCTCTGGTTCCCCATCTACTACCAAGCCTGGTTCAAGGTCCTTGTATTAACTTACAAAGCCCTGAGCAACTGAGGTCCAGGGTACCTCAGGGAGTGCCAGAACCCTTGTATCCAAAGTCCATCGCTGAGATTCTCTGCAGGAGCATCATTTCCTGAGTTGGTGAGACTCATTTGGCAGCAAGAAGAAACTAAATCTTTAGGGTCATTGACCAGTGCTGTGGAACTGCCTGCCACTTCCATCTCAACCTTTAAATGCCTCCTGAAAACTTTTCAGTTCCCTCAGACTTACACAGGAAATCAATACATCTTTTCCACAATAGTTAGCTGGTTTTTTAAAATCTTAACTTTTTATATGGCTTTATGTATAATGGTTGTAAACTGCTCTGATTTTTGTTGTTGTTATAAAATTGGGATATATAAATATGCTTATAAATAAAATATGCCATCATCCTTGGTCATTGGCTTGCTGTGGATTACAGGAGATGGAGATGTATTTCCCAGTGGTGGGAAACTTCCTTCAGCATGTGGGCTGCATTCCTGTGTGATCTGCCTTTCGGAGGCCACAAGCCTTCACCCTGGCTGGCTTTCTGCCACTGGTCTGTGACTTCTTGAAAGGTTCCCTATAGGTCCCTCTAGCTGAAACGGTCCCGCCCCCTCCCCAAATAATTAATAAACGAGATTTCCATCCTCCCAACAGGATTACCACAGAATAATTAAAAACCCGATGGATATGGGGACTATCAAGAAACGGCTGGAACACAACTATTACTGGAGTGCCAGCGAATGTATGCAAGATTTCAACACCATGTTTACAAATTGCTACATCTACAATAAGGTAAAGGATCTGGGGGCTGAGATTATGTTGTCGGGTGTTGTGTCCTTTTAGTATTCTGAGGAGGTCCGGACTATGAAACAAGCCGGATGAGAACTTTAGTGCAAGTGGTGTAAGTCTTACTCTGAAGATGACCAAACACTATTAAAAACACTTAACTGTGCCTACAATGTGGCAGTGTGGGCCTGCAGAAATGGCTCATTTTGCAGCTCACATTGTGTCCTCTAGTAACCAGCTGGTGGAGATATTTTGGAGGGTCTGAGTGTTACTGACTCCCACTGTAGAGGAGGGACTTCAAGCCCTTGAAGACCTGCTGTGATCAACTGGCTACACACTTTTGAGGATAAAGTCACTCAGCTTTGGAGGGATCATGACTCTGTGCTTGTTGCAGCTCTGGTTGAAGTACCCATTGCTGCCATGAAGGATGCGTTGTGGGATCAGTTTCTCCTCATGCAATCAGCTGATGTGGACGAGATGCTGGTGGCAATGCATCTGACCACATGCAACCTTGACCCCTGTTCCTCCTGGCTTGTTAGATCTAGCATAGTGGGACTGACTGGTTGGGTCCAGAGTGTGATTAATGCTTTGCTGCATGAGTGGGTTCCTACTGACATCAGGCGGGCACCTTTGATCAGCAGCCTTAGCGCTGTTACAGGTGCCACATAATACTTGTTCCATGTTTGTAAAAACTCAATATTTTAGTGTGGCAGCACCTATACTTTGGAACTTGCCTATTGATATCGGACGGACACCTTCGCTGTACTTGTTGCAGCACCTGCTAAGAGCTATATTGTTTAGATAAGTTTACCCAGATGTTTTAGAAGATTGGTGCAAATTTTGATCCATTTTTTAAAATTTTTTGAAAGTTTTAAATCCTTGCTGTTAATTTTTCTAAGTGATGATCTTAATTATCTTTTTCTTTCTTTGCAAACCACTTTGAGGTCTTTCCCCACCACACTCAAGTGGTGTATGAATGTTATGAAGCAAACAAATAAATAGATGTGAGGTGTCGAGCCTTCCTGTGTGTCCTCCCCATGACCTCCTGCTTTCTCCCACCCCGTCTCCAGCCCACCGATGACATCGTTCTCATGGCCCAAGCCTTGGAGAAGATCTTTCTTCAAAAAGTCGCTCAGATGCCACAGGAAGAGGTTGAGCTCTTGCCTCCGGTTCCGAAAGGCAAAGCGCGGAAGATGGCTGGCAGCGGGCACAGCACAGGTTGGGTTGGCATCTGTCATAGAACCATAGAATTGTAGAGTTGGATGCATCCTCTAGCGTCATCTAGTCCAATCCCTTGCAATGCAGGAATCACAGCTTAAGAATCCCTGGCAGGTGGACTGTAGAGTTAGAAGTAACCCAGATGGTCATCTAGTCCAATCCCCTGAGAGGCAAGTGGATTATTTATGGATGAAGCAAATAGGGAAAGGGGTGTAGCTCAGTGACAGAGTGTCTTCTTTGCATCCAGAAGGTCCCAAGTTCAATCTCTGACAGCAGCTTGTAGAACTGCAGAAGTGTCCTCTTTGAAACCCTGGAGAGCGGCTGCCAGTCAGTGTAGACACTATTGAGTTGGATGGACCAAATGTCAGACTCATATAAGGCATCTTCCTGTGCTCCTATTGAACACAGCTCTTTATTCAGAATCATGAGGACTAGAATCTTAATCTTTAGGGGGAGGGCCATAGCTCAGGGATGGAGTGTTTGCCTGGCATGCAGGAAGTCCCAGGTTAAGCTGCCACTGGCATCTCCAGGTAGTGCTTGAGGAGAGCTTTGGCTAGAGAGCTGCTGCCTGTCAGTGTAGACAGTGCTGCGCTAGATGGACCAGTGGTCTGACTCAGTGGGAGGCAGCTTCCTATGTTCCTATCTAATGAAGCCCTGTATTCAGAACCGTGAAGACTAGAAACTTGTTCTCAGAAACATTAAGGGCTAGCAGTTTTTTTGCTGCAACACTTTCCAAGTTACAGAGAAGGAGATAAGATTCAGGTAGAGGATTTTAATTATTTAGAGCTTTTCTATGGCTCTCGTCACTCAAAAAGGCTCACAGGAGTGGCTTAAAGCAAGACAATCCCTCCTCATAGGCTTACAGCTTTTTTAAAACAAAACAAAAACACCATAAAAACAACCCATGAGGGAAAAGGGAGATGGATGGGAAGAGGAACAGTAAACTTAAATAATATTATTCTTAAATAATAGCTGTTTTCATGATTCAGAAATAGTTCAGGGGTAGGGCTGTGTGATATCTGGTTTTCAATATGACAATATATCACCAGCTAAACATTATGATATTTCAGTATATCACAATGCTTGAAATAAGGCTGGAACTATGTAGAAGTGAATGTGGTAATGCTCTGGCAACTGCTCCTACCTACAGGTCTAACTCTAAAATTGATAGATTTTTATTTACCTTTAACATATTGTTAAAACTGTTATATTATAGTACCACTGTACTGATAATGTTTAAATTAGCACATTTTCTCTAAAATTAAAGCTGTAGAAGTAATTCAGTAGCATAGATATCAAAGGTAAGCTGAGAGAATGTTTCCTAAAAAATAAATTACATTACGAAACAAGAAAAAAAGCCAATTCACAATCACTGTCACACTTTTAGATATTCAAATATATTTCACTATTGAGTCTTCGTTGAATGTGTGCATTCCACAACACCAGTTATTAGATTGTTTGTTAATTTTATTTTCTAAACCAGTCCAAAATAGTGTGAATGAAATGGATAAATTTTAACAGAATAAAAAAATTGCTAAACAAATTTTATATTTTTAGTGCCAGGGGAATCTGCATTTCTTTTATAATGCAGGCGAAACCAGAAAGAATGGATAGAATTTTACAGAATAAAAAAAGATTAAACTCTCTCTCTCTCTCTCTATATATATATATATATGCAAGGAAAATTTGATGCATTTAATTATATGAAAATTTACTCATTGATAGCGTGCTTCAACAGTAACGTTACAGATTTCTGGAAAATATATTAATGTTAATAACTTAATAATAAATGTGTGAGAAAGCAAAGGGGTAAGAGGAGAATCAAGAAGAGTTCCAGGGTAGGGAGGAGGGTCTGGAGGAGAAAATGAGGAGCATATTGAGGGAGACAGAGACAATTTTGCGTTCGTGCGTACACACACACACACACACACAGAGCAAGAGAGAGAGAATACATGCAGATGGGGAAAAGAGGGAAGTGGCCAGAGCAGCGTGTTTTTCTTTCTTTTAATCTGAAGCAACTACGGAACATGTTCTTCAGCAGTTTCTTTGGGACAGGGGAGGTGGTGGAGGGGGGCGGGAGAGCTACTTTAAAGTTAAGAAGAGGAGCTGCTGCCTGCTAGCAGAAAGAGGCTAAGTTAATTTTTATATATACAGTGGTACCTCAGGTTACAGACTCTTCAAGTTACAGACGCTTCAGGTTACAGACTCTGCTAACCCAGAAATAGTACCTCAGGTTAAGAACAGTTTCAGGTTAAGAATGGACCTCCAGAACAAATTAAGTTCTTAACCTGAGGTACCACTATATAAAAAACTGCTCTGCGTATTCATAAAAACAAAACGCGCACAAACACAGGAGATGGAGAGGGAGGGACACACACACACACACACACACACACACGACACAGGCAATCGCACACCCACAACCAAGAAGCACAGCAGGGGGAAGAAGGAAACGGCTCTAATGCCACAGCAGCGTGTTTTTCTTTCTTTTAATCTGAAGCAACTACGTAGTGTGCTTCTCTGCAGCTTGCTTGGGACAGGGGAAGCGGGGGTGGGAGAGAGGGGAAGAGCTACTTTAGAGTAAAGTTAAGACGACCTGCCGCCTGCCAGTGGAGAGAGGCTGGGTTAATTAAAACAACAACAACACAAGGTGTTCTGCTGCTTCTCAGAAACAAAACACAAACACAAACATCGGAGTGGGGAGGGAGAGAGACATACACACAGACAATCGCACACCCACAACAAGCACAAGAAGGGAAAGAGGGAAGCAGCTCTTATGCTAGAGCAGTGTGTTTTTCTCTTTACTACTCCCCCAGTTTATATTATTACGTGAGAACAGGAGGAGAAAGGGGGCTCCAGATTCAGCAAGAGCCTGGTGTCTCTGAGGGAAGGAAGTTCCTGCTCGCAGGTTGTTGAGCTCCACCTGCTCAGGAGACAGAGCACTCAGGCAGAGTTAGAGTTTTTGCCTGCCGCTGAGGAGGCAGGCAGGGGAGACGGAGAGCTAAGGCAGAGAGTTTACCCTGCAGTGCACACAAAGTTTCTAAGTGAGCGATTTTTGCGTCAGCCTGCTGCTGCTGCGACAGGAAGCACAGAGAAGCAGCGGAGGCAGAGTTAACAATAACAATGGCTGCAACAGGACAGGAAGCAGCGTTGGCTTCCCGATTTTTGCAATATCATGCTTTTTGACTATTGCACACAAGCACACACACAACTCACGATATATTGCCAGGTAATTTTTAAAAAATGGGTATCACAATTTGCTCTTAATATTGATTATAAGACAATATAGTGATATGTCGCCTGGCCCTATTCAGGGGTAGGAAACGCCTGCTGGAGCTTGCTTTTTGGCAAAAGCTAATGGAACAAGACGTTGCAGAAGACCTTGCAGTCATGAAAGAAGCGGCACACAAGGAAGAAGGGAGAGGGAGGGGAGAGGGGAAAGAAGAAAAAAGCAGCAAACTCAGGCACCGTTTCTTAAACAGTAATTATCATCATGACCAGCTGGGGTAGAATGTTTCTGATTGAGCTGGCCTTCATCCCCAAAAGAACCAGGGAGGGGTTTGCTACTTTGACCCTTTTCTCTCTTGTTTTTCTTTTTTTAAAAAACAACAACTAGGAGCTCAGCACCCAGCAGCCTTATCTTCCGTGTCTCCATCAGCACCCTTCCAGAATGTCCCTCCCTCCGTGTCGCAGACGCCAGTCATCGCTGCCACGCCCGTGCCAACCATCACCGCGAACATCTCCCCCATTGCTGCGGCCCCTGCTGCTGTGCCCCCACTGCCTCCCCCTCCTGCTGCCACTCCCATCATGCCTGTGGTAACTGCTATGTCACCTATTGTCAAGGTAAGCAAAAGAAAATAAATCCAACCCACAGGAATCATAGAGTAGGAAGTACCTTTTATCATACAGTATGTGGTGGACGTGTAAAATGGCTAAGAGCTTCTGGGAGATGATACATAATGAATTGAAAATAAAAATGTTTAAAAGGAAATTTGTAAAAAGACAGGAAGTTTTCTTTTAGGAATAATTGATGCAGATATACCTAGAGATCAGGAAAATCTCATATGCAACTACAGCAGCCTGAATGGTATATGCTCAGAAATGGAAGGAGGGCACAATACCAACAAAGGAATGGCAGATTATATTGATAGAATATATAGAAATGGCTAATTTGACTAGCAGACTAAGAGACCAGGATGAAAGAATTTTTAAGAAAGACTGGAAAAGATTTGCAACATACTTGAAAAATTATTGTAAACTAAAATGTTAGCAGTGTTAGAATAAATTCATCAGTATGAAGTATATTGAAATAAAACTGAAAAAGAGAGATTCAGGTAAGTAGCCGTGTTGGTGTGACGCAGTCGAAATAAATAAATTAAAAAATTGTCCAGTAGCACCTTAGAGACCAACGTAAGTTTGCTCTGGGTATAAGCTGAAGAAGTGTGCATGCACACAAAAGCTTATACCCAGAACAAACTTAGTTGGTGATACTGGACAATTATTTATTTTTTATTTATTTTCAAAAAAAGAGAATACGGAATAATTAGAATTTGGAGCGGCAATGGGTTAATAAAACGAAACATTGAAGGTGGCGGAAAGGAAAATCAATGATAAATGTATGGTTTGGTTTGTATTTTGGTTAAATGTCATTGTGCAAACTATGTAAAATTGAAAATGATAAATTTAAAAAGAAAAAAAGAGTTGCAAGTGGGGATTGAACTTGAGACCCTCTTACATACACTACCAGTGATCTATGGCCCATCCAAAGCAAGATTCTAGTCCTCATAGTTCTGAATAAAGGGCCCATGCATTCATCATTTATTATTTGTAGCCTCTCCTTTTAGAAGAAAATTAATTTTTTAAAAATTGTGTATGTGTGTTTTCCTTTGAATTTCAGAAAAAGGGAGTGAAGCGGAAAGCGGACACAACCACCCCGACCACATCAGCCATCACAGCCAGTCGGAGTGAGTCGCCCACCCCGCTGTTGGACTCCAAGCAGGCAAAGGTGGTGGCCCGCCGGGAGAGCGGGGGCCGGCCCATCAAGCCGCCCAAGAAAGACCTGGAGGATGGGGAGGTGCCCCAGCACGCGGGGAAGAAAGGGAAGCTCTCCGAACACCTCAAGTACTGTGACAGCATCCTCAAGGAGATGCTCTCCAAGAAGCATGCAGCATATGCTTGGCCCTTCTACAAGCCAGTGGATGCTGAGGCTCTCGAGCTGCACGACTACCATGACATCATCAAGCACCCGATGGATCTCAGTACTGTGAAAGTATGTCCCCTGCTAATCTTGATTCATTGTGTTGATAGCCCACCTTTTCCTCCTCCCTTTTCACAGCAACCCTGTAAGGTAGGTTAGGTCAGGCTGAGAGAGGCAGTGGCTGTGAGCTAAGGTCACACCCAGTGAGCTTCATGGCCGAGTGGGAGGATTTGAAGTTCCTAGGCCAACACTCTAACCGCTAGATCACTTTTTAAAAAAGGCCTGTTAACCTTTTCGTAGTGAAATATAAGGGTAAGTTAAAAGGAGACTAGGAATTGTTTGCATGCCTGGATAGGCTTGTCCAAACAAAAAGGTTTTAAGCAAGCACCAGGTAGTGAAGGCACCTCCCTGCTGCCAATAGGCAGGGCGTTCTACAGTGCAAGTTTGAGTTCTTAAAAGCACAGAGTGGGCATTATGTGGCACATGGGACAGTGTCAGTTCTATGGACTGAAGCAGTCAAGTGCTTATATATGACCAAGGCAATCTCACTGGTAAACTGGTCCCAAGTTGTTAAGGGCTTAATACACTAACCATAACTTCTTGAACTTGTCCCAGTTGCAAATCCTACTGATTATATTTATTATTTAATTCATGCCCAGCCCTCCCTCCCCAAGGAGCTCAGGGCAGCAAACAGGTATACAGTTTAAAAGAAAAAACAACGCTGGAGCGTTTAAAAACCATTATAATTAAAAACGGTTACAATTTAAAATGTTTTAAATCCAGTGATTTTGGGGTTGCCAGGAACAGTCTTCTTCAGCCACCACAAGCTTGGGTTAAAAGGGTCATACATCAATGTTTTCAAACCCCTCCTGAAAGTTAATAATGTTGGGACAAGTGCTTCTCACTAGGGTGGGCTTTCCTCAACCAGGAAGCCACCACAGAGAAGACCCTGTCACAGGTCAAAACTAATCAGGCAGCACCCAGGGACTACCATCAGAGGCAGCTGCCAGGCTGATGCTGGCATTGGATGAGGGGGAGTTGTGGCCTGGTCCATCAACAGTGGACTTGTTTTCGCTGCTCCTCCAATGCTTGCTGGCAGATTTCTGATATAATAGAATTTTAGGGTTCAGGGGTCAAGGGTAATCTAATCCAACCCCCTGAATTGCAGGAATCACAGCTCAAGAATCCCTGATGGATGACCATTCAACTTCTGCTTTAAAATCTCCGATGAAGGAGAGTCCACCACCTTCACAACATACATGAGCAAAACTCAAATCCCACATGACATACTCTCAGCTGTATCATTTTATTCCTGTAGCATTTCTAAGCATCAAAAGTGCTTGTAAATAATTGTTTTGTTCTCTGCAGTGACCATAGTAGTTTGTCGATGGTTTCCAGCCCTGCCCCAGATTAAACTCTGCCTTAAAAAGAAAAAAAAACTTTCTGCATATGTGAATTCAAGTTGCTTAGGGCTTTTTCGACCTGTTATCCAACTTTCCCTCTCCCTGTTCTTCCTTCCCTCCCGACTTTCTTGTATTTGCAGAAAAAAATGGACGTTCGGGATTATCAAGATGCCCAGAGCTTTGCGGCGGACATCCGGTTAATGTTCTCTAATTGTTATAAGTACAACCCTCCAGATCATGAAGTCGTGGCTATGGCCAGGAAGCTTCAGGTAAAGTGATGGACAAAATGGAACCAGAACAGAGACTCAAAAACTGATATGAGAAATAAATTAATTTCCTTGTTAAAGGTGCCTATGAGGCTTTGGATTGTGCCTAATTCCCCTTGCCTGCCTCCAAAATAATGCATTTCTGTCCCTGATTTGGCCTGTCCCAGGGAAGTGACTCAGGCAGAGAAGCGACAAGCAGCCTCCTCATAGGAGCAGAGTGGATCATTTATGCACATCTGCATTGGGAACACTTTTAGAGCAGAGGTGGTCAAGTAAGTCCCGCTGGTGGGCCAGAACTTTTTCTCCTCTCCTCCCACTGGGCAAAATTATGACAGGTGGGTGAGGATGCCGGCCTGTCAGTCACCTGATGTCACGGTGATATTGGGTGACCTGGTGGGGGTTTTTTGGGGGGGTTTTGCCTGAGCAGTTGCGGGAGGTGGGGGGAATCATGCAGGCAATGGCAGAGGTCTTTACAAGCACTGATAATCAAGTGGATGCCTCTGGTTAGCTGACAGGTGAGGCATTTTTAGACCAGCTGGGTATTTACCTGGAGGTGAAGGACAGGTGAGCTTGGTTTGGTTTGCATAATTGGGCATATGGACAGAAGTGTCCCTTCTGGGGAGGGGAGGGGGAGCTATCATTTTTTGTAATGAGATTTTTATTAAAGTTTTTAAATAACACAATAAAAACTGCTACAAAAAATACAAACAGAATAAGTAGAATATGGAGTCCTGTCTTAAGAGTAATTTTTAGCCCTTACCACCTAAAGGGGACAGTAGCTCATTCCCAGCTCTCACCTGGAATCTTTCCTTTCTCCTCCCAGCATTTGGTCCTGAAAGAGTGACATTTCCATGTACATTAAAAATATGATTATTTAAAACATTCAGTCCATGCTAACACCCATCTTCTCTATTTTCTGTTAAACAATATTTCTTTTAAGTCAAGGTGACTCAGAATCAATCATTTATTTTCTCAACAAAAAGCCTAAGATAGGTTCCCGAATTGTTATTATTGGTACCTGTCAACCATATTTTTTCTTTAATATTAACTTTACCTCCATTAATTCCCACCAGCATTATTCCATATCAGCTGACAGTAAATTCTTCTGTCTGTGTCCATTTTAAATCTATCCAGTCTGGTCACATATTGGGATAATATTATATATTTTTCTTACTATATATCCATTAGTCCATGTCCTGTATGTTCAAATTCCATTTCCTGTTGTGTTTCCATTTCCTGTTGTATTTATGATAGCATCCCAATCTGCTCTTCTAGGACCTTTGATTTTTTTTGTTTTTCCAAGTCTTTTTCCATAGATAATAGCATAAATTTAGCAGCAGCATTCTCTGAATTCACTCCAAATTGACTGCGGAATATACTTTGTCTGCTAGAACTGAAGAAAGGCCAGGAATGAAGTTTTTCCCAGTGCTTCCCCCCTCTCAAATCCATCAATGCCATATCCAGACAATTCTCCATATCACTATTTGTGATTTTATATTCTCCTCCAAATCCTTGTATGGAAGGCATTTCAATTTCAGCATCTGCTTCCTGTAATTTAGCTATTTATCATCAAGTCCTGCTAGCTTTTCATCGATTTGGTTTGAAGCACAGAATTGGAGAGTTGGAAGGAGCCCTCAAGGGGCATCTAGTCCAATCCCCTGCAGTGTAGAAATAACAGCTAAATGTGAGAGGATTCTGCAACTAGGCTGCATCAAAGCAGATTATGCCCAGTTGGCCAATATACGTCCCATCTTTTTTTTGTGGGGGTGACTCAGCAATGATGCTCTTGTGTTTCACATCCTTGCCTTTGTTCCAAATTGTTTATTTTTTTGAATGGGAGGTTGGGGAACACTGCTTCCAAGGAGAAAGTGGGTGGAGGGGGTGGGGAAACTCACTGTCATGGAAAGTGGTGATGGCCACCAATCTTAAATGGCTTTAAAAGAGGAATAGACAAATTCATGGAAGAGATAAGGCTGTCAATGGCTGCTGGCTATGGATGCTTTAGCTGTGATTCTTTGCATTGTAGTGGGTTGGACTTGGGGATGATCCTTGGGGTCCCTTCCAACTCTACAGTTCTGTGATTCTTTGATTCTATGGCTGTGCTCTTTCTCTATGATCGGAGGCAATGATATTTTTGAATACCAGTTGCTGGGAACCACAGAAGGAAAGAGGGCTCTTGTGCTTGGACTCTACTTGCATGCTTCCCTTTGGAGCATCTGGGTGGCCATTGTAAGAACAGGATGCTGAACTGGATGTGGCCAGTGGCTTATCTTATGTTCCTAGAAGGGTTGTGGGCTCTCTCTGCCCCCTCTACAAACCTCTCTCTTTCATATGCCCTCTCTCTCCGCACGCAGGACGTCTTTGAGATGAGGTTTGCCAAGATGCCGGATGAGCCGGCAGAGCCCCTGGCCCAGCCCCCACAGACGGCACCCGTTGTCAGCAAAAGCATGGAAAGCAGCCATAGCAGCGAGGAGAGCTCCTCCGATTCGGACAGCTCAGACTCTGAAGAGGAAAGAGCCACACGGCTGGCTGAGCTGCAGGAGCAGGTGAGAGGTGGTCCCATGCCAGAAGTCCTCTTCCACACCATACACAGTTAACCTGTGGAACTCAGTCCTGCAAGGCAGTGATGGCCACCAACTTGGATGGCTTTGGAAGAGGACTGGACAGGTTAAGGGAGGAGAATGCTATCAATGGCTATTAGGCATGATGGCTTTGGTCTACCTCCACTGTCAGAGGCAATGATGCTTCTGAATGCTAGTAGCTAGGAATCACAAGCGGGGAGAGTTGCTGTTGCTCTCAGGTCTTGCCTGCGGGCTTCCCTTTGGGGCATCTGGTTGGCCACTGTCAGAACAGGATGCTGGACTAGGTGGGCCACTGGCCTGATCCAGGATGGCTCTTATTATGTTCTTATGGTCCTTTAAAAACAAACAAACATTGAGATCTCATTCCCAATGGGTTCCAGGCCAAGCTCCAATAAAAGCCCCTCTACACGTGAGCTTGCTTGACATTTTGGTATCTATGAAATATGTCTGTGAAAAAACCTAGTGTTCAGCCAGCACACATATGGTTCTAGAAGTCTTCAGTTTGAGAACCACCTCAGCAAAATAACTTATTTTGGAGTATAAGTCACTTAGTCTCAGTTGGGCTGATCTGTAATATGAGAGCTACACTTGCCTCTGAAGAATTTAAATGATCATTTACTTGTTTGAAACAAGGTCCTGCTTTTTAGTGTTTATAAAGTAAACTGCAATGTGGCTAATATTCAGAGGCTTTAAAAAAATAATAATCCCAAAATAATCCAAACAGTTTTGGCTTACTAGGAACCTTTCTTTCTTTTTTAAAAAATTGGGTGCCTGAAGGCATACATTGTGTGGTTCTTATAATGCAAAAAATACATTATGAAAAAAGAATTGCGAGTGGGGGAAATGCTGCTGGCCCTTGCGTTTTCATGCACTTTGAGTGGCCTGGAGGGCTAGAAAGTTGGCCCTTTTAAAAGGAAAGAGAGGAAAAAATGAAAAGATTCTCAGGATTCCTTGGGAGACCAGAGTGTAATTTTTTGTGTGTTCATGTGGCAAATGCAGATTGCGGGATCCCCTACCCTTCCCCCCCTCCCTTCCTACCAAATGGATTCGCACTCAGGATGCACGATTAGCTTCCTCGCCTGTCTTCTTGTTCACACAGGACTGTTCCCGATCATTGAGGCAGTGCTACAAGGTCAATGACTCCCGAGACTGGAATGGATGGAATGTATTTGTTTATTTTAATTTTAATTTTAAAATTTTCATTTTCTTATTGCTGTCCGGATATGTCAAGTTGTGTAGCATTAGCATAGCTATATATATATATATATATATAAAATATCCTATCTATAAGCTGTGTTGCTGTGTTGCATGTGAGATAATTTTTCCGTCCTGCTGATCCAGTAAAGCTCTGGGCTTCAGCTGGCAAGGTGGGATTCTGCAGGTGTTTTGATAATAAATTTGTTTTAAAATAAATTGGGGATGAAAGGGGAAAGAGAGAGGGTGACAAGAGGTCAAGAGCTTTGAGTTCTGATCCTTTTAACAGTCATGGAGGACGGGAATTTTAAAAGCACCTGGATCTGGTCAATGATGAGAGAATGCTTAAAGCAGCACTGGAGAACATCAGTGGCCCATCAGCTGTTTGCTGGACTAAAACTCCCATCAACCCCTGACTATTGGCCAAGATGGCTGGGGCTGATAGTAGTTGAAGTCCAACAAGAAATGGAGGGCCACGGGTTCCCCACCCTTTATCCAAGGAGAGGGATTCCACTCTCACATGAGGGAATGTCTCTTCTATATAGAGGCATCCTTCCACCTCTTGCATGCAGTAGTGGAATACTCCTTCTTAGATCAGGGATGGGGGCCTGGGGGTCCTCCAGATGTTGTTGGACCACAATTCCCATCTGACCATTGTCAGTGTGGCTGGCGGGGGTTGATGGGAGCTGGAAGTCCAGCGTCATCTAGAGGGCACCACATGTTTCTTACACCTGGTTTAGATAAGAATTGAGCTAGGTGGCCCGCTATAGACTATTTTGTTACAACAGTTTATATTCTAGAGGGCTTTTTTGAGTTTTGTTGCTCTTGGCATGGCAGGAGAGTAGGAAAAAATGAGATTGTGAGCCCCCAAGGGCAGGGCCTCATCACTGCTTTTAACTGATGCTTATCTTAGGAGTTTTGTTAAAGGATCTGATGATGATTTAGACAAAGTCCCATATTTCAGTCCTCCTCCATTGGGCGGGGGGTGGGGGGAACCTATTGGCAGTACATTCTCTTCCACAGCCAGTGCTGCTGAGTCCATAGAGTGTTTGCAATCCAAAGCGATAACCCAGTGCTCCCACCAGATTTCCTGAGAATCCCACTTTTTTCTTTTTCTTTTTTTAATGATGGGCAAATTTCTAGTCCTCATGATAATTCTTTTAAAGGTGATGTCTCTGCTTCTTCCTGGGGTGGAGGTGGGACACACAGTGATATTGCTGAACCAAGTCTTATTTGTGTTTTAACACTTTTAAAAGGGACCCCTTGCTCTGTTTTTGTTCCATTTTTATTTTAGGACTATTTATTTTTATGTGTGTGTTTTTTTAAAAAAAATACGAAGTTCCATTCTCACTCAATCCTTAGTGCCTGGGGCAAGTTAAAAATGCAGGGATAGAAAAAACAAAAATGACATTAGAAGGGACCCTATTCTGAATGTTGATGTGTTCATCCATCAGTTGATGGCCAAGCAAGGAAATGTTCGGGACTGGATGTTCACAGACCTCTGGGGGAAAAGACAGCCCCACAAGTGGGTAGGGGAGGCTGCCCGTAAGGGCATCTCTTCCCAAACCTTGGTCTGTGGACTACCAGTAGACCACGAGCTTCATTCAGGTGGTCTGTGGTGTGTTTGTAAGCTTGTGGTTGAACATGGGAAAGAGCCCATCAGTCATTGTACTGAGAGAGGCTTTTATTTCTTTAGGCGCAATGATGGCCAATTTAACCTTCCCGCCCACTACCCCCAAAATAAAATAGGAATTTAAAAAGATATTTTCCTATATACAGTATGGAGAAATGCAAGGTGTCGTTATGCTCTGCAGTTTGCATGGCCGCCAGTAGGGGGCAGTGTCAACTACAGCATGAAGAACAGGTGAGCTATTTTAACATGGAAGGGAAGCACGGCAAAGCACCTACTCCCTACACTAAAAAGGCACGCAACAAGGCTTAGGGGGAGGGGAGGCTCTTCACACAAAAGCTGAGCAAGCTCTTGTGTGAAGCAACACCCCCCCCCCAATTAAACACAGCTAGAGTCAGGTTTAATGGAAGGTAGAGTGGTCCTTCATAAAGTGGTTTAACAAGCTGCTTTCTATTAACACCTCCCCCCTCCATTAAATGTGCCTGCAGTGAGGCTTAACATAGAAGGGAGAGGAGCTTCACACAGCTGTTTAGCAAGCCACTCTGTGAATTGCCACCCCCTCCTTTAAAAGGGGTGGGGCTTAGGGCAAGCTGTGGGGGGGGGGAGTGTGGATAGGTGAGGTGTAAAGGGAAGAGAGGTTGGTCAGGTGTCGCGGAAAGCCAAAAGGGGTAGATGGGGTTAGCAAGTAAAGTGAACATGCGCGGTAGCTGCATTGGCACACAGCTGGGGAAGGCGACAGCAGGGGTGGCAACCCCTAGTACATTATAAAATGAAATTACAAGTTACCAAAAAAAAAAAAAAAGCTTGGCTAAACAATTTTTAGCAGGCACCAAACGCAGTGTGTCTTCCTCACTCCCCTGGTGTCAATGCATTGGGAATATATCAGACAGGCAAAGCTGGGCTTGTTGCTTTCCCACCCTAAGGCTGCAGGGTTGTTTGAGAACTGACACCTCCATGGGGAGGGGACCACATCTGGTGCCTCTTTGAGGGTGGTTGTGTTTTTTTTTACAGTTTTTTTTACAGTTTTTTTAAGTGGTATACAAATATTATGCAATCAATCAATTGGGAGAGGGGGGTATGAAGCCACTGCTATCCATGCATTTGTAGCCCAGATCACGGCAGGCACATATAGAGCCACCACACATGGGGTGGTGAAGGGGCTAGTTTCTGGTTCTCGCCAATGGCATTTTGCCAGGAGCACTGCTTGGTGGTAGCCCCTGTAAGATCCTGCAGAAGGTGCAGCAAGTGGTGAGATGATTTGTAGATTTGAGAGAACATTGGCAAATATCCCTCAGCCACCAGGAAAGTAAGATAAAGGTAAAAGGGAGAGAATTTCACCCAAATTTGATAGTTGTTGAATGTGATTTCTTTTCTCATTAATTGATGGAGAATGATCAAGGTGGGGTGGGAAATGCAGGAGGGATCCCCCCGGCACAATTTTAGAGTGGCTCATTCCCTCCAAGGGAGCTGGCTCTGGAGCAATATGGCCACCTTAAGCTTTTACTCTTCCATCTTCCCCTGCCAGTTGAAGGCTGTCCACGAGCAACTTGCTGCTCTCTCGCAAGCCCCCGTGAACAAGCCAAAGAAGAAGAAGGAGAAGAAGGAAAAAGAGAAAAAAAAGAAAGACAAGGAAAAAGAGAAGGAGAAAGAGAAGCACAAGGCAAAGGCTGAGGAGGAGAAGAAGGTGAAGGTCACTCAGCCGGTGAAGCAGGCCCAGCAGAAAAAGCCACCGGCCAAGAAGGCCAACAGCACCACCACCGCAAACAGGTAAAGGAGAGAGGTGTTGTGGTCTGGGGTTACTGTTTCTGCAGCACGGTCCCTGTCTCTGATGTCACGGCCTAGGACCCTCATACCTACGGGACCGCCTCTCCTGGTATGCCCCACAGAGGACCTTAAGGTGCATATATAGCAACACCCTAGAGGTCCTGGGCCCTAAGGAAGTTAGATTAGCCTCAACCAGAGCCAGGGCCTTTTCAACACTGGCTCCGGCCTGGTGGAACGCTCTGTCTCATGAGACCAGGGCCCTGCAGGATCTGATTTCTTTCCGCAGGGCCTGTTCCACCTGGCCTTTGGCTTAGAATCATTTTGATTCCCTTCCCCTCTTTTCCCCCCCCTTTCTCCTCCTGTGAAGAGGCTGCATCCTAATGTTTTAATGTTGTATCTTAATCTTTTAAATTGTATTTTAATCAACTTGTTTATATTATTGGTTGTTAGCCGCCCTGAGCCCGGTCTTGGCTGAGGAGAGCGGGGTATAAATAAAAATTTATTATTATTAAAGCCACCCAATCGGCATTAAATGGGGCCTTTTTAAGTCACTGAAAAGTGTGGGAATTAAACTCTAGTTCCCATTTACAGAGTTACGCAGAAGAGAGCCCGGGTCTGACCCTTTCATTAGTTCCCTTTCCCTCCTATAAAGAAATAAATATGCAAGACACTCCCTGTTTAAAGCTTAAATAACAAACAACTTTTACACAGTGTGCTTGCACTTGTTAGATTAAATATACAAGGCAGGCAGATGTTACTTCTATTACTAATACATATTACACCTAAGACAACAAAAGACTGTTGCAGACTGACCTAACTCTGAGGTAGACAGCAGCATAACAGAACATATCTGCTGCTCCGACTGTGAAGACAGTTAATAACTGCCATAACTGAACCAACAGAAAATAACTGCCACGGCCTGTGACATCACAGAGTTCTATAGCCCTTTGTGAGCGTTAACCCTTTTACTTAGCGATTTGGATGCTTCATCCCATGAAAAAAGAAGCTTCCTCCTGCTCTGTGCTGACTGGAACTAATCTGAAGGAAAGGAGGAGTTGGTCACAGAGGATCAGCTCCCAAGTTTGCATGGGAAAGCCCCCCTGAGGAGGAGGTGGTTTTTTTGTTTTGTTTTTTAAATAATTTTTATTTAAAAAATTTCTTGTGTTACAAAAGTATGGGCGTTGTCTCTATTTCCATAGAGTCTTTTCTACAAATCAGTTATGTTCAGTGTGAGACATTGATGTTGTACACAGTATAAAGTTGGAAGGAGAAGAAAGAGGAGGGGAGGGGGTGGTAAACATAACATTATTTTACTTAAGTGTATGTGTGAGGTTTTTGTATTGGCGTGACTTGGGCCACCTGCTCCTTATAGCACTGCAGCTCCAGCCCTTTGTAATTAGTTGTCACATTTTATATATATGTGTGTGTGTGTGTGTGTGTGTGTGTGTGACCCAGTTGTTTTATGGAATATTAATAGCACATTTGCAGAAATTGTTTAAGGGGGCTGAAACCAATGCTAGCCCTACTCCGTGTAGATTCACTGAAGTTGATGGCCATGATGAACTTGGGTACAATAATTTCAATGTGTCTACTCTGAGTAGAAATTAGTTGGGTACTGCTCTTCATGTTTGGTGCTTGTAGAAATGTTTTCACTGGAAGTGGAAAGAGAGAGGGTTTGGTGAGTAACACAAGCAGGGAAGGCAGCCCCTTGTTATTCCCTGCTCGTGTTGCTCACCAAACCCTCTCTCTTTCCATTTCGCCACAAACCTCCCTCCCCTCACAGTGGGGAGCAAATTAACTGTGCAGGCAATAATAGCAAAGTAACTTTGCAGGCAGCCGAAAAAAGGCGGGAAACAGGTTCCTGTGGCCTACGATTCGGATGAGGAGGAAGAGGGACTCCCCATGACCTACGATGAGAAGCGCCAACTCAGCTTGGATATCAACCGCTTGCCGGGGGAGAAGCTGGGCCGGGTGGTACACATCATCCAGTCAAGAGAGCCCTCACTCCGGGACTCCAACCCCGATGAAATTGAGATAGATTTCGAAACCTTGAAGCCTACCACGTTACGGGAGCTGGAGAGATACGTCAAATCCTGTTTGCAGAAGAAGCAACGGAAGCCATTCTGTAAGTGGAGGGAGCCTTCCAGGACCCATCCTGAAATGAGCAGGGCCATATCTTAATTATTTTTATCTACCTATATATTGCATTCATATTCCACCTTTCCCTCAAAGGAATTCAAAAAGGCATACATGAGTCTCTTCCCCCTCCTCATTTAATCCCACTCATTTAATCCCCACAACAACCCAGTGAGGTAGGCTAAGCAACAACTGGTCCCAAAGGTTGTAAACAATGAACTTCTTTTATTTTTAGGGGATGGCCCACTTCTCAGTGCCAGAGCCTATGCTTGCATGCAGAAGGTCCTGGGTTCATTAGAGATGCCATTGAGGTTTAAACCTGGGGCCTTCTGCATACAAAGCAGATGCCCTGCTACTCAGCTATGGCTCCTCCTCTAAACATGGCATGATTCTAATCCTCATAATTCTGAGGAAAGGGCTGGGTTATTTAATAGGAGCATAGGAAGCTGCTTTATACCGAGTCAGACCCTTGGTCCATCCGGCTGAGGGACGTCTATGCTGACTGGCAGAAGCTCTTTCCCCAGCCTTACGTGGAGATGTCACTGGGCATTCAACAAAACAGGTGCTCTACCATCTAAGGCCCTTCCCTCACTCACAGTGGCATAACATGGGTTGTCAGCACCCAGGACAAGGTCCAAAGCCCATCTCTCTTCCTCCATCTCCTCTGTGTTTGCCTTGACCTTCCCCACCAGCCTGTCAAAAGAAGCTTCCTTCAAGGCTGTTCCCTCAGGGCAACTGCCCCAATTGTCCCCCACACTACTCCACTTCTCAGGTTTTGGAGCTGGGGAGATGCTATCGCATAACCCACAAGAGGCCATCTGACCCTCCCCCATCCAGCATCTCTTGGGAGTCATTGGCATGAGAATGCAAAAGACAGTGGTTGCTGACTCTTCCTTCTCTCTCCACATGTCACCAATTGTGCCTTTCTCCCCCGCAGCTGCGAGTGGGAAGAAGCAGGTGGCAAAGTCGAAGGAGGAGATTGCTCAGGAAAAGAAGAAGGAGCTGGAGAAGAGGCTTCAGGACGTCAGCGGGCAGTTGAACAACAACAAGAAGCCTGCGAAAAAAGGTGAACAAAACCTCCTCCCTTCCTGAATGCATTTACTAACTGCATCTGATTCCCTGTTTTGTCCTCACAACTTTCTGAGGTAGGTTAGGCTGAGAAGAAGGGGCAGGGGAGTGTGACCACCCCAGTAGACTTCATGACCAAATGGAGGATTTGAACCCATGCCTTCTTGGTCCTAGCCTCTGACACTCCTGATTCCTGCATTGCAGGGGGTTGGACAAAATGATCCTTTGGGGCTTGCAGTTCTGTGATTCTAACCACTATACTGTGTTGGCCATTGTGAACCTGCAACCTTCCCTATGCAAAGCTTTGCATGCAGGACCACCTCTCCTAAAGCCCTTCTTCCACAAGCGAACTGGAGGGTGGCAACACAAGAACAGACCTTTTCTGTGGTGGCTCCCCATTTGTGTGATGCTCTCCCCAGAGGCGCTCGCCTTGCGCCTTCACTGCCTATATTTAAGCACCAGATAAAAGCATTCCTCTTCTCCCATGCCTTTGGCTAATTAAACAATCTATGAACTTTTAAACTGGGGAGGGGGATGTTATTGTTTGTAACTAAGGGTTTTTGTTCATTTGTTTTTATATTTTAAACCACCCTGTGATACTTGGATGAAGGGCTGTATAGAAATGCAAATAATAATAATAATAATGTCCAAGAATAATATAAGTACATAAGAAGATGCTGTTGGATCATGCCAAAGGGAGCCCATCTAGTTTTGTATGCTGTTTTCACAGTGACCATCCAAACGCTCCAACTGGAAGCCAGTAGGTAGGATCTGAGCAACAGCAACTCTCTCCACTTGTGATTCCAAATAATTGGCATTCCAAAGCATAACTGACAGTGGTGGAAGAGCATAGCCATCTTGGCTGGTTGCCATTCATAGTCTCCTCCTCCATGAATTTATCCAACCCTCTTTTGAAGTCATTGAGGTTGGTGGCCATTACTTCCTCCTGCTGGAGTGAGTTAACTATGTCCAGAATTAGACTTCATCACTCCTGGGGTTTTTATTTAGGGACCTAACAGGGAAGGAGGTTTTGTTTTGGTTGCATTCACACAACAGTTTAGTCCACTTTCATGATGTTCCCCAACCAATTTCTGTGTTATAGTTGAGCTTCCACATGGTGTAAGAGCCAGTTTCGTAAATCTAGAGGAACATAGTACATATTTAGCACTCATTTCTGTGATGCCAGAAAAAATCCATTTGCAGCCTCCTTAACCCAGAAAATCATGGGAGCAAAGAGATAAAATGTGGGGCAGTTACGCCAACCATACAGTTCTCTTCTGCCATTTTCATGGGAAGAATCATGGGGGAACAGAAGTGTGCATGTTCAGAAAGGGTGGAGGAGTAGCACTGATGCCCAGTGACATTTGATGTTCCACAACGGGTACGAATGAAATTTAGCACAACGTTCCAGTATATTGGTTTAAAAAGCCACAGTGTCATAACTTGGAGGGTAGCTGGAGGTTTTTAAGCAGAGGTTTGATAGCCATCTGTCATGGATGCTTTAGTTGGTATTCCTGCATTGCAGGGAGTTGGACTAGATGACCCCTGTGGCCCCTTCCAACTCTACGATTCTTTGAGTCTATGATCCTTCTAATGCAACAGGTACTGCAATGTGAAACGAGTGTTAGAATATGGGACAGAAGCACTAGTGTTCTCATCCCGGATCCTAATTCAACGTTCCACACGTCTGAATGCACTATTTTTAGCCTAGAGAAGTTGAATCTTAAATATCCAGGCTGAAGATTGCTTTCACCTAAAATGCTATTTCTTTTCTCATTTCTTTTGCTAGAAAAATCTGGCTCCACCCTTTCTGGAGGCCCCTCTCGCCTGAGCAGTAGCAGCTCCTCGGAATCGGGGAGTAGCAGCTCAAGCTCCACTTCGGACAGTAGCGATTCAGAATAAAGCAACAGACCCTTAAACGCTCCCGGACGGCGAATGGACGTCTCATAGGCACTTGCCCCGGAAAGTTCTGCAGCGTCCCCTTTTGCTTCTTCCTCGTTACTATATTTTTTTAAAAAAACAAACCAGCCTGCTTTCTTGCAACAGGACCAGCTCTGTATCTCATTCCACCCCTCTACTTTTAATTTTTCTTTTAATTCAGTGTTATAAAACCTTCCAGAATTTAATTTCCTCCCCCTACTTTCCCCACCCAGCTTTTATTAGGTTGCAAGATCTTTTTGGGGTGTGTGTGTGGCTAGACTTTTTAAGGCAAGAACTTTCCCTTGCATATAAGGTCTCTAAACTTTTTTAAAAAATCAAATCATTGAGACGTCTTTTGGTGACCAACAGCAAGAGATGTGGGAACTGGAGAGATGAGTAAAAAAAACGTTTGCGAGATGTAATATTAAAAAAAGGGGGGGTGGTAACTTTTTTCTCTTACTCTTCCCTCCTCCCCCATGGAAATTCCTTTTTAATACAGCCCAAGACTCAGCTCAGTGCTGCTGCTGATGTGGAGTGGGGAACTTTTTAAATGGGGTGGGGTGGTGGGGAGGAGAACCTCTCTGTAAAACGGTACTGTATCTGAAAGACGTTAGCTTTTGAAGTAGTTGATTGTATTTGTTGCTAGCACTAGTATTGCTAACCTCCAAGGGGCCCAATCCACCATGGAATGCTCCTGGGCATGCCCCCTTCTCTCATATGAGAGGGAGGTGTACAAAATGCACCTCTCCCGTTTGTTTTGGTGGGGTGGGAGTACAGAGACCATGAGCAGACCTTCCTTGTGGATTGGGCCCTGCATCTACATGTGTGCTGAAGAGCATCATTTTATATATATATATAAATATATTATATATATATGAGGGAAGGAGGAGAAGAGAGCTCACGTACTGTGGATTGTTTTAAAAATGTACCTTTTTAGATATTTCTTTTAAACTTTTTTTAAAGTAAAAAAAAATGATACTAGAGATTTGTGCTTCTGTTATGAGAGGTTGGCTGACCTATTAAAGCTAGCAGATGAAATTGTTGAAACTCAAAAAACAAAAAACTGATTTGGCTACAGGATGGGAAAAGGAGAGGTTGTTGTCGCTCTGGGTGTGTGCATGGAGGAGGTTGAGAGGCATATGATACACATCACAAGCATTAGCTTTAAAAAAAAGTCTGGGAATGGTCCAATCCCATTGTGCACACCTAGAGCGCAGGAAGAATGTCACTGATGTAGAACTCTGGGTGAACCCAATGACCTTTTCTCGGCAATCTGCAAACCTTGGTTGGTGCTGGTGCTGGGGGATGGGGGTAGTAGTCCTTTCCAGTTTTTCTTGCTGTTGTTAAGGGTCTGTGAAGTATTGGTTTGCATCCAACCAAATTCCCCTCAAAAGTAGACCCACTGAAATGAATGGATCTAAGTTGGTTGGGTACCCCTTACTTTCACTTGGTCTGCTCTAAGCAGCGCCACATTCACATCATACATTTAAAGTGCTATGAGACCACTTTAAACAGTCATGGCTTGCCACAAAACATCCTGGAAACTGTGGTTTGTTCAGGTTGCTAAGAGTTGTTAGGAGACTCCTCTTCCCCTTCCAGAGCTGCAATTTTCAGACTGGTTTAACAATCAATCCCTCTTCACAGGTAACTGCAAACCATAGTTTTGGGGAAGGAATTGGGGGCTTGGGGTATAAGCACCATGAACAAACTAGTTCGCAGAATTCTTTGAGGGAAGCCATGGTGGTTGAAAGTAGCACCATAGTGCTTTAAATATGTGGTGTGAATGTGGCCTAGGACTAGCAATTGGATACACCCCTTGATTTAACATTTGTACAATATTCTGTAGCGATGGCTTTTAAAAAACGAAACCCTCTCACCCTGGTCAGTCTGTTACTTGGGACCTTTTCTATGTGATGTCATTCAGTCTCTTTGCCCTAGGTCCACATCATCCTTTTGTTGAGATAGGAAGTACCATGGTACCTCTGGTTACGTACGTAATTCGTTCCGGAAGTCCATTCTTAACCTGAAGCACCACTTTAGCTAATGGGGCCTTCTGCTGCTGCCGCGCCACCGGAGCACGATTTCTGTTCTCATCCTGAAGCAAAGTTCTTAACCTGAGCTACTATTTCTGGGTTAGCAGAGTCTGTAACCTGAAGTGTGTGTAACCTGAAGCATATGTAACCTGAGGTACCACTGTATTCACATTAGCCAGTGAGGCATGTAGCACCACTGTCCAGTTTTTGTGAGGTCCAGACTTTTGAGAGGTCCGGACAACATATGGAAGCCAACTGCATCCTGAGTAGCTGTTGTGGTGTTCCTCCATGAGGAATGTTTGGAGAGCTTCTAATAACACAAACCCTACTGGATCAGACCAGTGGCCCATCTAGTACAGTATCCTGTCCTCATGGTGGCCAACCGATCTCCAAAAGACATGGCACCTGGGCTTAGGTGATGTGATGCCTTCTGGAGGTGGCTGGACTCCAAACTCCCATGGCCTCCAGCTAGTGTGACCAACAGCCAAGGATGCTGGGAGCTGGTGTTCACCAGCATTTGAAGGGCACCATGTTGACTGCAGGAGGCAGTCCTTGGTTGCTGAGAAGTTGTTAAGAGCTACAATTCCCAGGGTGCTTAAACAATCAGTACCTCTTCTCGGGGATGCCCATATGCTACTGGGCTAAATTCAAGGTTATTGCATTAATTTACAGGGCTGTTAATAATCTGGGCCAGGATAACTTGATCACCCTGAATCCCTTATATCCCTGCCCAATTACTGAGCTCTTCAAGGGAGTTGGTAATCCCCTGTGACTTGGATGCATGGTTCATATCAACCAGGAGCCATGTTGCGTTCAGTGTTGTGGCCCCAAATTTGTGGAACTCCATTCCAATTGAGGTCAGACAGACCCTCTCTCCCTGTTGATCTTCCAGTTCCTAATGAAAACTTTTTTTATTATTATTCCAGCAGCTATTTCAATTGATGTCTGATTTTATAGTTTTAACTGATATTTTTTTAAGAAAATATATTGTATCTTTGTTAAGAGACTCATTGTAGTCAAGTGGTATATAAATTGTTTAAATAAACATAAATTGTGATATTGTGATAGGAATAGGGGGTTTCCTAACAACTCCCAGCACCCTCAACAAAGAACAGTGTCCAGGATTCTTTGGGGAAAACTATGCCTGCTTAAAGCGGTATCTTAGCGCTTTAAATTTATGTGGTCTGTGTTAGGTCCTATCTACACCATACACTTAAAGCATTACGATACGACATTAAATAGTCATGGCTTCTTCCTACAAAGAATTCTGGGAACTGTGGCTTGTTCAGGGTGCTGAGAATTTCTGGAGACCCCTATTCCCCTCACAGAGCTACAATTTCCAGAATTCCCTGTGAAGAGGGATTGACTGTTAAACCACTCTGGGCACTGTACGTCTGGGAGGAGGAATAGAAGGATTTCCTAACAACTCTCAGCACCCTGAGCAAACAACAGTTCCTGGGATTATTTGTGGGAAGCTATGCCTTTTTAAAATGGTTATATAAGAGTGTGCTGTAAATGTATAGTGAGGATGTGGTTAACCATAGAGCCAATTGCTTAACTTAAGGGCACATTCTTGGCTTAGCGGGTCACTGAGGTGCATAGTTGAGACCCAAGCAAAGCCCCCCAAATAGGGAATGAATTGGGGGAGGTTGAATCTCTCTTGATTCCTTTTTAAACCCTTTTTTTCTAACAGTGGAAAGAAGCTCTTAAGACTGGAAAGCTACTTCTGTGTTGTGAAAGTGCAGGTTTCCCAAATAAACCTTTTACCTCAAAGGAAGGGGGGAGGGGGGATACACTGGGGTGCGTGTGGGGGTGGGGAGAGATAACAACACTTTTGTAAGATTCATCAATTTTTCTAGAAACTATTTTCTCCAGTCTGGATCCCTGCACTTTTTTCAAAAGACACACTCCATAATTAACTGTCCCTTGTTTTGTTTTTGTCTTCTTGTATATACAAGTAACTTTATTTATTAACACCAATGGTCACTTAAAAAACAAACTATCCTGCATTTTGAAGAGTGACAGAAGAAGGAAAATGCAGATTTGTCTTGGTATTTTTTTTTAAGAAAGAAAAACAAAGTTCTAAAGAATTGGGAGTACTTTTAATTTAAATGTATTTGACTTTAACCAACAGGTGCTATGGCTCTTTGATAGTTTCCTGTGCTGGGTGCTTAATTCCTTATTTGTGTATTCAGGGGTTTTCCCCCCCCCCCAGGGATGGGTTTAGGGTGGGGATTTGTTTGCTTTCTTTTTTTGTACAGACTTTGGACTTGACAGGTATTAGTACCTTCCAGATAAAAGCATGATTTATTTGTATATTCCTAGTTACCCCCTTTCCAGGTCAGTCTCTGTATCTTTAATTGTTTTAAAAGTAGAACAGTTTGGAAAAAATAATAATAAAGGAACAAAGACCTGATTTATTTATGTATTTTTTGAAGCAAATGCCACTTCTGTAATACACACGTTTGTAAAGCCTTGGGGGGGGGTGTTGGGCAAATGTGTGATGATCACAACTCTGTTTTCAATTTATTGTGCAGCAGAGTTAATAAAAGTTGTAGGGTTGGAAGCTGCAATGCAGAAATCACAACTAAAGAAACCATGACAGATGGTCATCCAGCCATTGCTTAAATTCTTCAAAGGAAGGAGAGTCCACCACCTTCCAAGGGAGTCTGTTCCACTGTCAAACAGCTCTTACTGTCAGAAATCTCCTTGCAACTTGAAGCTATTGGTTTGGGTCCTAACCCCCAGAGCAGGAAAAAACAAGCTTGCTCCATCTTCCATCATTTCTCTTCTCAGTCTCCTCTTCTTTGGGCTAAAAACACCCAACTCTTGCAACCATTCCTCACAAGTTAACATAAGGTTTCATTGTGGTTGCCAGACCAATCATCTTTTAAAGCCATTGATGTTGGTCGCCATCACTGCCTCCTGTGTGTGTGAATACCATAATTTAACCAAGTGCTGCATGAAGGAGGACTTTTAAAAAATCTGTCTTGAATCTACAAAGGGACCACAACTGATAGCACAGCAGAGGTCCCAAGCTGTCTCAATCTTTACCAAGGTCTACAGAGGAAGGAGGAAGCTTGGGAGAGGAGCAAAATCAAATCTGGGCTGATGAGATTTTGCTGTTTTTTATGCCAGGTTAGGTCCATCAGTTTCCACTCGACCACCCAAGGCAACCAAGATCTTGCTTGCCCTTCACCAGCTAACTCCCACCCCCACCGCACCATGGCAATGCTAAGCGCCAACCCATCTCACTAGGCTTTGTGCCTCAGTTCTTCACATCTTGGTGGCTTAGATCTAAAAGGGTTTAGGTTATACTTCCAGTTCCCACATCTCAGCAGTAGGGTCCAAGAAGCTGCCTCTACAGGGTTGCCAGACCTCCAGCTCTCATCTGAAGCCCCCTTTTTCTGGGCCATAGGTGGCAGGTGGAGGTATTGAATCTCCAGGTGGGCAGGAGAGCCTGGGAGGAGCTGGCTACAAATTATAGCATAGACACTATGCAGTGTGTGCCCACCTCCCCACGTCTCTCCCAATTAACCTTCATCTGCAGGACCTTCTCTGGGGTGGCATCACCCTAGGCTTCAGGTTAGGGCCTTGAAATCTCAGCATCTGGGATTCTCCAGACCTGGCTTAAATGATTGGTGGCAGCAATGCTTCTGAATACCAGTTGCTGGAAACCACAAGGATAGGGACTGCTCCTTGTGTTCAAATCCTGCTTGTGGACTTCTCATGGGTTGGCCACTTTGGGAACAAGATGGACTAGATGGGCCACTGGCCTGATCCAGCAGGCTCTTATTTTCTTATGATGGTATTGTTCCAGTCTTGTGGTTCATTTTATCCTGTTCCTCAAAGAAGCTCAGAATGGTGTAGTATTTTTGCCCCCCCCCAGTTGTGTCTTCTCAACAACCCTGTGAGGTAGGTTGCATCTTGCAGAGCTACATCTTTCCCCCTAAAATAAAATAATATTCTAGTCCTTGTAGTTCTAAAGAACTAGTCTGAATTAAATAGGAGCATAGGAAGCTGCTTTATGCAGAGCTCAGACCCTTGGTCCATTTAGGTCAGTACTGTCTACACTGACTGGCAGCAGTGGCTCTCTTGAGATTTTAGGCAAGGGGCATTCCCAGCTATCCTTGGAAATGGCATTCGGGATTGGGACCTTCTCCATGCAAAGCAGGTGCTCTGCCACTGAGCTGCATCCCCTCCCCTAAATTTAAGTCAGGTTCTGCAGGAGGGTGGAGGCCTAGAGAACCTGATTAACCAATGTGTGTGACATGGAGCATTTGAAAGCTGTAGAGCTGGAATAAACCTCAAGGGTCACTACAGCTGCTCCTCTTACGCCCTACCCAAGAGGCAATGGGAACTCCCAGAATGCCACAAGCCTGGTGCCTGTCCAAGCTAAATTGAACTGACAATCTCTGCAAAACAGACTTTGCATTTGGCAGTCAGAGTGTGTCCACACAGAGAAGCAATAATTTGCTGCAGCCACTGAAATAGGTATCCCTTCATTTTTAATACTGCAAGTGATGAACAAAAGGCATCTGGTTGCAGAGAGAAGTGTCCATCTTTAAAAGAGGTTTTTTTAAAAAAAAAAAAAAACACCAAACCAAAACTCTTCTGAACTTCCCAGCCACTTCCATCCCCAAGACCTAGCGTAGTTCTGTTAACACATCAACAAGTTAACACAGCAGCAATCTGACAGTCCAGGCCCTAGAAAGCAAAAGTCCAAGCTTGCATTCATGCCTGTTTCAGCGTGAGAGGATGAATGGAGCAAACTCCTGTCCATGAGAGATAACCTGCTTACTTCAATTGCCTGCCTCCCTTAGCAAAAGAGAAGTGCTCATGTAGGTGGGTTATCACATTATTTTCCAGATCCTGCTTGTTTTAGAGGGAGACAGCTATGTGGACATTTAGCAGGCAAAGCTGGCATGGAAAGGGGTGGTGGTGGAATGCCTCCTGTTTGTAAGCAGCCAGGGGTAAAGGTGTGTTAGAACAGGTGTTTTGAACTGCACTTCCTACCTCCCCAAAATGGCCCCTATGTGACTTCTCTCCAGAACAGATGATTGGGAAGAAATCTTTGCCTACATCAGCACCACTTAAAACAGATGGGGAGATTGTGGCTCTCAATGGTGATGTCTGGTGAATGGTACAAGGTAACATCTGGAAGGCCCCCGGCTCCCCACCTTCAAATTCCATCTGTAATGGAGAGTCCTGGGTGGGATAGAGGTGGGTGAGTGAGGACAAGACATTCAGTGTTGTCTATCAGGAACAGCCTTTCGCAAAGTAGCAGCAAACAAAGTTTCAAAATTGATTTAGACGGATTCAACAAATGTAGGCAAACCTGTTGGACAGCCACTTGAGGCCCCTGAAAATCCATTTCCCAAATTGCTTTGGGATCACTGTCCAAAAATGCAGTAGAATATAAATAGAGCTACAACATAAAAAATAAAACTTCTTTTTTTTAAAGGAAAACCACTTTCTGGATCCATTTTAGTTAGCCTAGAGACTGGGCTCGCTTGCTCACTCTTAGCTCTTGAAATCACATCACGCTGCAAAACCTGGATTGTCCAGTATCCCTGGGGATGTCCGCTTTGTTCTTATCCCGCACCAAGATCGCCTGGTTGCCATACTGTGAGTACCACATGCTGTGGCTCCTGTTCAGGTACGTTCCTGGTGGCAGAGACTCGAGTTTCTGCTGCTGCTGCTGCCAGATCAGCAAAGAGGCATCCCTGTACCGGAGACGAGCATAAGTCTCAGACAAAGCTTTCTCGGCCAGGGGTGGCCGTCCGCTCATCCCCACAGCTACCACCTGTTCACAAAAGATGAAAGAAGCCTTGTTGTCATTGTCTTCTGGCTGTGGCTCAGGGCTCACAGTGGAGGTGTTCTGGGCTGGGAGAGAAACGCTGCCAGACACAGCAAGTGCGGGGGGCGTAAGGGCGGCCTGTGGTCGCAACAGGAAACACTCCAGCTATGGACACATCATCAGAAGGCGCTTGATTCAAAGGGCAAAAAACAGGCTCCACCCAAGTCTATTAGGCTCCTGCAATCCAGTTCTGCCCTAGAAATTCTCACGAGTCCATATAATGCAGGAGGGTTAAAGGTTATTCAGAACCATGAGGACCATCATCTTAATCTTAAGGAGAGGGCTGTACCAAGATGGTAGATACAAGAGACAGCCCATTCTCAAGAGTCCTTTTGCCTTCCCTTGCATCTCTTCCTTGCTGTGACCTCTTTCAGCCCCCCTCACCCCTCACCCACCTCTGCTTCCTAATCCTGTCTACCTTTTGAACTCACCTGCCCCAGTTTATTGCTTCTTCAGGGACTGGAGAACAAGGAGCCATCAGGACTACGCTGGGAAATAGAGGAGTATGGGTGACGTTCTTTTTCAAGTCAAATGGGGAGGGATTTGATGATCAATTCTTGAACTTGACTAAAGGGCAGTTTGGTGATTCTCTTGCTTGCTCAGAGGATGGAAGTCACGCTGAGTGTAGATGACACATCTGTTTCCATGGAGAGAGAGTGCCAGAATGCTGGATGCTGGCACCATCTCCAGAACTGGTTGTGGACTTTTTCTACTCATTGCCAACTGGGCTGGGATCAAATCCAAGTCACTTCTCTTTGATAATGAAGAATCTGCAGAACAATCAGAGTTAGTTAGGATACGAGAATGCAGGAACGTAGCAGAGATTGATAAAAGCATTCCAGGTTTTTGGCATATGAACATAATAAGCTGCCTCCTAGTGAGTCAAATCACAGGTCCATCTAGCTCAGTACTGTCAACACTGACTGGCAGCAGCTCGCCATAGTTTTAGGCAGGGGACATTTTCAGGGCAAAACTGGATTGTAGAAGCCTCAGCACTAACAGACTCAGATGGTCCTGGTTGCTTTGCTCTTTGAGTCAGACTACTGGTCCCTCTAGCTTAGTATTGTCTACACAGGCTGAGAGTAGTTCCTCAGGTTTCAGGGGCAGGTCTTTTTGGAGGCGCTGGGGACTGAACCTGGTACATTTTGCATGGAGAACAACTGTTCTACCACAGAGCCACAGGCTTCCCTCCAAGCACAGCTATAGCCTAGCAGTAGAGCACAAGCTTTGTACATGAAAGGTCCTGGGTCCAGTCCCCAGAGGCATCTCCATGTAGGTCTGGGGCGGAAAAGACTGCCAGTACTGAGTTGTTTGTTTTGCTTAATTAACAAACTCTACAGACTTGCTTATTCAGCCAATCGATAAATCTCTCAAGTGGTTTACACACAGCAGTCTGAAATATTTATAAGAAACACAGATAAAACTAACAAACTTTAAGAACAAGGAGACAACAACAAATTATCAAAACAGAGATAAAGTCAACAGATGTTAAAAACAAATGCTAATTATCAAAACATAGATAAAGTCAACAGATTTCAAAAACATATACTCATGACAAAACAACATGTTTGGCAAAACGCTTGGGGGAAAGTGCCTTGTTTTAAGATGCCTGAGTTTCTGTCCTACAGGACTTACGAGGAGGATGCTTTTTTAACATGTACTTTGATAAGAACATAAGAAGCTCTTGCTGGATCAAGGCAAAGGGGGTCCACTGTGAGAACAGCATCCTGTTCTCACAGTGGCCAACCAGATGCCCCAATAAGAAGCCCACAAGCAGGACCTGAGAAGAAGAACAGCAACTCTCCATCAACTGGCGTGCAGAAGCAGCTTGCCTCTGATACTGGAAGAAAGACCATAAGAAATGCCCTCCCGTTGGATAGGACCAATGGCCCATCTACCCCACCACCCTGTTCCCACAACAGTCAACCAGATTCCTTAATGGGAAAACCGCTAGCAGCACCCAAGTTGGAACTGCAACTTTCCCCATTTTTACCAATCCATCTCCTTTATTGGCATGCAGAGCATACGAAAGTACAGTGGTACCTTGGTTTACGAACTTAATCTGTTCCGGACATCCGTTCTTAAACTGAAAGCATTTTTAAACCAAGGCACGCTTTCCCTAATGAGGCCTCCCGCTGCAGGTGTCCTTCCACCATTCGGATTCTGTTCTTAGACCGAAGTAAAGTTTGCAAACCGGGACACTACTTTCAGTTTTGTGGAGTTCGTAAACCGAGTAGTTCGTAAACAGGGCTGTTCTTCAACCGAAGTACCACTGTACAGTGGTACCTCGGGTTAAGTACTTAATTCATTCCGGAGGTCCATTCTTAACCTGAAACTGTTCTTAACCTGAAGAACCACTTTAGCTAATGGGGCCTCCTGCTGCTGCTGCTGCGCCGTTGGAGCACAATTTCTGTTCTCATCCTGAAGCAAAGTTCTTAACCCAAGCTACTATTTCTGGGTTAGCAGAGTCTGTAACCTGAAGCGTCTGTAACCCGAAGAGTATGTAACCCGAGGTACCACTGTATAGAAGTCAAAGCATAAAATTGGAGTCTGTTCATAACGCTAGTCCTGCTGAGAGCAGAGACCCACACTACAATAGGTGGATTTTGATGGTTTTGCTGTCGACCACAGCAAACTATGGCAAGTTCTTAAAGAAATGCGAGCGCCTGGTCACCTCATCTGTCTCCTGAAAAATCTCTATGTGGGACAAGAAGCTACAGTTAGAACTGGATATGGAACAACTGATTAGTTCAAAATTGGGAAAGGAGTATGACAAGGCTGTATATTGTCTCCCTGCTTATTTAACTTATATGCAGAATTCATCATGCGAAAGCCTGTACTGGATGAATCCCAAGCCAGAATTAAGATTGCCAGAAGAAATATCAACAACCTCAGATATGCAGATGACACAACTTTGATGGCAGAAAGTGAGGAGGAATTAAAGAACCTCTTAATGAGGGTGGAAAGAGGAGTGCGCAAACTATGGTCTGAAGCTCAACATCAAAAAAACTAGGATCATGGCCACTGGTCCCATCACCTCCTGGCAAATAGAAGGAGAAGAAATGGAGGCAGTGAGATATTTTACTTTCTTGGGCTCCATGATCACTGCGGATGGTGACAGCAGACACGAAATTAAAAGATGCCTGCTTCTTGGGAGAAAAGCGATGACAAACCTAGACAACATCTTAAAAAGCAGAGACATCACCTTGCCGACAAAGGTCCGTATAGTTAAAGCTATGATTTTCCCAGTAGTGATGTATGGAAGTGAGAGCTGTACCATAAAGAAGGCTGATCGTCGAAGAATTGATGCTTTTGAATTATGGTGCTGGAGGAGACTCTTGAGAGTCCCATGGACTGCAAGAAGAGGACAGATCCTGAAGCTGAGGCCCCAATACTTTGGCCACTTCATGAGAGGAGAAGACTCCCTGGAAAAGACCCTGATGTTGGGAAAGATAGAGGACACAAGGAGAAGGGGAAGACAGAGGACGAGATGGTTGGACAGTGTTCTCGAAGCTACCAGCATGAGTTTGACCAAACTGCGGGAGGCGGTGGAAGACAGGAGTGCCTGGCGTGCTCTGGTCCAGGGGGTCACGAAGAGTCGGACACGACTAAACGACTAAACAACAACAACAACAACAACAAAGGACGTTCCTGCAAACAACCCTAAAGCTGGGAAGAGGCGGATGGCGGGGCGGGCAGGGGGTGCAGAAAGAGAGACGTCGTTCAGCCCCCTTCTTCCATCTTCCTGTCCTTGCTGATGCGCTTAAGGGTCCCCGACTGCGGTCACTCACCTACCTGCCGGCCTCCGTCGGGGCGTACAGCCGCGGCCAGGCTGCAGGGCCCGGCGCCTCTTGCTCCTGCTCCTCCTGCGCGCTCTTGGCGTCCCCGTTTGTCTCTACGCTACGGAGGAGGCGGCGGCGGTGGCGTCGACGGGCGGCGCTACGAGCCTCTCCGCCCACTCCTGGCAGCGGGAGTAGGAGGGAGCGGCTGGCTGGCAGAGCCGCCTACCGCGGCTTCAGAGCTAGTTCCGCCCGCGTGCCCTAGCCCACCCTGGCCAGGAGCCTTGGGGGCCGCACTGCAGGCCCCGGAGGGCCACAAGGAACGGGGCGCGGCCAGAGGAGGAGTTGGGCACCTGCGTCTTCCGCGGGGGGCTCTTTGCAATGCTAAAATCTGCAACAAATAACTCTCACCTCCCCAGCTCAAACCGCAGTTTCCCCCGATCCGGTGGGGAAGAAGGCCTGACAGTTCAGCCGTTGCGATGCCCATTAAGCTTTGTAGAGTAGAGCTGCCGGGAAGGTTCCACCCCTTATGTAAGATGCTGTAGCGCTGCTGAGTTCTCGTCCCTTTCACCGAATGAGGATGCTGTCAAGTCAAAAGATCCAGTTTTATTAAGAGGTCTCATGCACCGAATAAGCGCCAAACAAGGTCGGGACACCATGGATTCTTTTGTTGAAGCATTTCTCCAATGCTTTTGTGCTGTGAAAAAGTAAAAATAAAAGCCCATAATGTCAATAAAAAAAGAGAATGTAACAATTCAATAAAACCCGGAGGGTGTGTGTGTGTGTGTGTTCATTTGGTTTTTTTAAAAAATAAAGAGCTTGTTTCAGCTGAATCCATCCAGGGAGTTTCTTCCATAACAAGACCAATCACTCAGTATTGTCCACACAGCTCTTCTGGATTTCAGGCTCTGTGTGTGTGTGTGTGTGTGTGTGTGTGTGTCTTTTGCCAGCCCCACTGGATATGCTGCTGGGGACTGAACCTGGGACCTTCTGCATGCAAAGCGCAGAATCATAGAATTGTAGAACTATAAGGGACCCCAACTGTCACCTAGCCCAACCCCCTACAATACAAAAATCACAGCTAAGGAACCTCTGACAGGTGGCCACCCAACTTCTGCTTAAAAACTTCCAGTGAAGGAGCATCCAACACCTCTTATCATCGGAAAGTTATCAGAATCTCCTTTATTGCAGTTTGTATCAATCGGTTCAGGTCCTTCTCTCCAGAGCAGCAGGAAATAAGCTTCCTTCATCTTCTATGTGATTGTGACAGCCCTTTAGCTATATGAAGATGGCTCTTCTCCTAGTTTCCTCTTTTTCGGCTCGATTACATGAGGATGCCAAAAGTATCTTAACTACAACAACAGCAACAATTCCCTCTAGCAAGAATGCTTCAAATAACAAGAGATAGAAAAATACCAGGAAGATGGAACAATACCTGCTAGCCACCAACAAGGGGCAGCAGATCTGTTCTCTACACAAATCTACACAGATGCCCACCTTTGCCAGCTTGGTGCCTTCAAGAGGGGCCAATAGGATTTGAAGTCCAAAACATCTGGAAACACCAGCTTGGCAAAGTCTGCTACAATTCATTAAAGACAAAGTGGCTTCTCCCAAATAATTCTGGAGTGTGGTTTATTGAGCGTGCTGAGAGTTGTTAGGAGACAGTCCCCCCCATCTCCTCCCAGTTCTACAATTCCAAAGTAGTTGAACAATCAAATCGCTCTTCCTAGAGAACTCAGGGAATTGTAGCTCTGAGAGGGGAATAGAAAAAGAGGAGGAGGAGGAGGAGTTTGGACACCATATCCTGCCTTTCACTCCCCTTAAGGAGTCTCAAAGCGGCTAACAATCACCTTTCCCTTCCTCCCTCA